CAAAATTTTGAAAACCTTAAATTTGGTACGAAATCCCGGATCATTGCTCGAAACTCACCAAATCTTAAAATCTCGACCTAAACCTATACTCAAAATCTTTTTGAAAATTTGAGGATACATGCAAAGCTCTTAAGTGAAGTAATTTATTCTCAAATGTCGCGTAGATGATAGGATATTTAAAGAAATCTTATTCCATTAAGTTTTTCTCATAAGTCCTTAATTCTCTTTAACAATGGGGTTAATAATTGTTTAATAATAAAAAGGGAATAATAATAAATAGTTGCACTAAAGCTCCGCCTAGATGATGGGGAGTCAAGATGATCTCATTATATTTAAGAATCTCATTTCAAATTTGCACTTCATTATCATACACAGCATTTATTGGCTTACATATATTTATTTGTTACTGTTTGCACTTGTTTGCATTTCTTTTTCTTTAGTTGTTACTTGCTATTTGATAATACTATCATTTACTTTTTTGCATAAAAATAATTTTTTTAATTTACTTACTTTTAAAATTATGATATTATAAAATAAAACAAAAATAACATTATAAAGAAAATAATTTTCGGTACTCTACCTAGATATTAGAGAGTTACCAACAATTATTTCTTGCAATGAGTGTTATTTTCATTTTAAGGGATATTATATTACATCTTAAGTGAAAAGAGTTGTTTTAAATTTTGTGTAGATATTGAAAAATTTTAAGATAAGTCTTTAACTTAAAGATTTTTTCAATATTTTTAAATAAAAAATTTTAGCAAAAATATTTTTTAAACAAAGAGAATTAGTATTAAATTTCAAGTCAATATCATTTTATTCAACACCGAAAATAATGCATTATTAAATGGTACCAATTTATAGGCATTGTGGGGATGCTAATTCATCCTCACACGTAACCGACTCCTGAACTCAATTTAGTTTTTGTAGACTGAAATTTATTTTTTTGATAAACTTTAAACTCGCTTTTATAGTTTTATTAAAACGATAAACTTTTGAATGGTTAATCATACCCTAAAAAAGATTGATGATGACTCTCATTTTATTTTTTTCGATTGTAAAATACTTTACATCTGACGATCCCAAAATCGTTACGACACATTATAATTGGCTCTCTAAGAATACAAGAATGCCCTTTCTTTTGTAATAACTATAGCAACTTGATGTTGAGTTCAAGTTTTAAGAAATAAGACTTAGTGTTGGATTCAAACTTTTAAATGATAAGATTTGTGTCTCTTTCTATTCTATTAATCTCACATTTTTTTATTAAATTTTTAAAAATAGTTTTGACTTTTTAATGTGATCATATTTAATAAATACACTTATTTTTTAATTTTTTATGAGAACTAACCTATAAATATTAATACTTTTTATAAATTAATTAAAATTTGAGAATTGAATTTATTTTTGTCTTAGAAGTTTTTTTTTTTCAAATTACAAGTACAAATTATAATTATAATTAAGTATTACATAATTGAATAATCAAACAAATAAACTAATCAACAAATTAAAATATAATTAGATAAATCCAACATAAAATTGAAAAAATTCACATATAATAAAGTTTAAACCTAAAATCTCAAATTTCTAAACATTTATAATCACTAAAAACAACTTTTTATTTTTTGGGATACCATTTTTAGTTTTAAAAAAAAAACTCTTATGAATTATATACATTATATCAATACATAGTAAAGAGTTTTAAAAATCTTTGGAGGGCGACGGTCCCCTCTAGTTTAAACGTGACTCCGCCCTGACACTACTTCATCAAGCTTAGTTTATATGATGAGCATAGTACGTTATTAGCCAAAAATAAGTATTAAAATATAAAAGATAAAATAGTACAAATAATAATAATTAAAGATATTATCATGAATAAATTTTAAATTATAATAAAATATTTAATATGATTTTAAAATTTTAAAATTTTATAATATGATATTTAAATTATAAATTAATTAATTAATATAATATTTATAATTTATTTATTTATCAGATATTATTATTTAAAATTAATTATAGTGAAAATAAATATTATATTAATTAATAAATTTTTAAATATTAAATTAAAAAAATTTTAAATTCAAATATTATATTAAATATTTAATTATAGTTTAAGTTATTTACAATATTAACTTATAATTATTGAATTACAAACATTGGAATAATAATTCTTATTTGCTCTAATTTAAAAGTTATTGCACATGAAAGATAATAAAGTCAAAACACGGTTTGCGGGTTTTAATTTCATTTTCCCCAACCCAATAACAAAGTTGCAGCTAATATCCCGGTTTGCTGTCATCGTTTGACCAAACATGCGACCTCCACTTTCTCCTTGTATTTGATTCTGTAGATTGTTCTTTGGAATAAGTGAATTTTTGCTTCCATTTCTCGGCAAGATAGTCATTAATCATTTTCATGTGCCTTGAAACCTCTCCAAGGACGTACCTTTTTATATTTTTATATTTTTCTTCTAAATTATTTAGTATTAATCTTGCAGAAGGGTTGCCATTTGGCAGGTAAGCTGGCCTTCCAGCTATGTAAAAAACCTGTAATCATAATGATAGATACAGATCTTCTATCAATGCAGAGCTACTTGTTTTTAACCATTCATCTATCCAACCATATGACTCAATCTTATAGATGATGATATAATAATTAGGGATAAACAATTAATAGATTTAATCGATTTAGTTTTAAAAAATAAATAATTAATTTTTATTCAACAAATAATTAAATTAATTAAATAATTTTAAATAATTAATCACGATCAAATAGATTAAATCGATTTTTTTAATCGATTCGGTTAAATAATTAATTTTTTTATTTTTTATATTATAAATAATTATTTAATTATAAATTTAATTTAATAAAATTTAAATTAAAATACTAAAAAATTTAATAATTTTAATAATATTTTATAAAAAAATAAAAATATTTATTTCAATTTTTTTACTTTTATTTATTAAAATTTGATTAAAATTTATTAATTCAATTAATAATTTTAAAAATAAAAATCCAATCAAATTAATTAATTTAATTAATTTAACAAATTAATTATAACTAAAATAAAATAAATTAAATCAAATCAATTAAATTCTCTTGATTTTGATAAATTTAATTTGTTCAAATCAATTTTTATTCATTTTTAAACTCATGAAAGTGTTACCTGTTGAGATTACTGTCGAAATGGTTACTGATGTGACCGTTAAAGCATAAAAAATATGATCAAGGACGCTGAAGTTGTAACCCAAGCTCTAGAAAACGTCCAGAGTTAAGCATCGAATCTGTTTGTTTGGTTTTTTTTTTTTTTTCTTTTACTGAAGTTCATAAGAAAAATAGATATACGTAGCTGCCGACATGGTTGGTTACTTAGTTTCGTAATCTTAGAGCCCCCCACTTGAAGGGCCGGTGGACTGTTCTGGTCGTTGAATTAAAGGTTTTGCCAGGTCATGATTTAATGACTATCGGATTCCTCTTCAACTCCAATATTTATTGTTCCTCCTTCCCTCCTGGTGGCAAGTACCGGTCTTCCACTTTTCCATTTTCTATGCTACTATTTTGCAAGTATGGACCGAGCCTGTTCTTAGTTGCTTAAAGGGCCAGAACCCAATTTTAAAATCCACCTTAATTTCCATGATTTCTTATCCAATTTGAAGCTGATTTGCTGTGGGCTGCGCCTGAATTTCCTCTGAACTATATACCCCAGCCCCAAGCGGTTGATTTGATCAAAAACCTTTTCAGTCATTAACATAATTTATAATTAAAATTAAAATTGATTTGAATAAGGATGAGAGCTCAATTTTGTTAAATTGAAGTCCAAGAATGTGATATCATCCTCTTGTGCTTTTCGATATCACCTTTCGGATTTGAAACGACGATTTATTCAAAAAAAAAAAAATTTATCTCTCAAACTGAAGTTATAAAATTTAATAATCAATCTCATATATATATATATGTATTAAGATAAGAATATAAACATTCTTTAATAAATTAGTCAAAATTAATTTATCCCATTATAATAAGTGTAAATACAAAATTATATTATAATTACATTTAACAAAAATTATTTTGCATGTTTGGATGTATCACAATATGATAATTACTCGTAATTTAACAATAATTCATTTGAATATGAATTAATTAGCTGTTTTATTTTACAGAACGAGATAATTACATTAATTTATAAATTTGTTAATTGAATCACTATTTTATTAATCTAAAAAGACAATATATATTTTTTTAACTATTATCTTGTTAATATCGGCTTTAATTCAATGCTAAGAAATCAAATCAGTTACTAAATTGATTACAAATCACATATTATGAAAAGTGATGGATCTTCACAAAGTAATGCAAAGCATGTTAAAATGTTGGATATTACTACGTATAGAGTAGCCTTCCTTTGCCAAAAGCTTAAAAGCATTAGGAGGCTTGGCATTACACCAAAAAACTAGACAGCTTGAAATTGAATCTCTTGCCATGCAATTAAAGACTCAAAGTAGATAATAAAACAGTGAAAATGAGCTCTCCCTACTTCTAATCATGTGATATAGTTAATAAATATAAAAAAAAAATTCTTAAAAAAAAAATTCTAACTTTTTTTTTATCCTTATCTAAGAGAAGATAAATGAAAAAAAAATATTTTCACGTATTTTGTGTCTTTTTTTTCCCTTTTTTTGGCTTTTATTCTTAATTTTTTTTAACAAAAATGCTATTTTTATGAAAAATTATTATCAAGTATAGATATTAGTTCTATAAATTTATATTTAAAAGAGAGTGAAAGTTTTGGATCTTTTAATTAAAGAAAAAAAAAGATAAATCACCTAAAAAAGAAAAAGAGAATTATAAGAAGAAAGAAAATTTTAAAATAGATATTATTTTTGCAAATATTTATGATTTAGAATAATTATTTTTAAAATTAGTCAAATATAAATATTTATTTAAAAAATATATATATTGGTACTTCCCCAGTTATATAGTTAAAAAGGTGACAAGCTTATAATTATGCCGTGTTTACGTTTTACATTAATCCTTGTTGTTTTTTGTCCTTTAAAAAAAAAAAAGGAAAAACCAAAATACAACAAAGAAATTTTCTTGACATCCCAAACCGACATTGATGCATAAAACTTGGAAAGCCCCAGACTGAATCGAGCTGCAGCCATGAGCCATTGAAGAAGTATAGTGGTAAAAGATGCAAATATAAAGGAAAAGCAGGGCTAAGAAACAAAGTCCTCTGTCCTTATTATGCCCCAAAAATGTTGTAATTAACGAGCAGAGACAGCAGCATGGGCTCTTCTCTCTCTCTCTCTCTCTCTCTCTCTCTCTCAGTTTGGGAGACATCGAACCCCAACGCCACCTCCCCACTTGTCTGTTTGAGAAACGAGAGGGTGCCCTCCTTCAAAGCTACCATTTTTCTTATTTTCTTGGTTCTTAATCTACAACTGACCCTTTTTTTCTTTGTTTCTTAAACTTGGACTAACTCAGTCTTATTCTTAAATCACACACACTTTTTTTCTTATCCTACACCCATCTTTACCTATTTCTTTTTGGGTGGTTTTTGAAATTAGCTATGCTTGGATGGTTTGGGGCAAAATTTGGTTGCTTCAGAAGTAAGTATTAAATCCTTATTCTTTTTGTTTCGTTTGGTTTTTATTTTGGTTTTGCTTGTTGGGTCTGTGAAGTTGCATTTTTTTAATCAGAAAAACCCTAAATATTTTATTTTTGGTTGATTTAAGTTTCAAGCTTTTCTGGGTTTTAAAGTGGAATTATTAGTTTGTTTATTTATTAGGGTTTTAAGGTTTTTGGGGCTATGATCAGTTTGCTAAAAATGGAGTGGCTACTTGGATCATTTTGGTTTACCTAGGTTTCAATTTGTTTTTTTTGAAGTGATTAAAATGATGCAAAGCCATTTTTTCTTTAATGGTATTATTTTGTTGAGTTGCAGGAGCCCTTGGTTGAGATTTAGTTTGGTTAGGGTCCTTGATAAGTAAATTTCACCTTACTTTCATTTCCCATTTTTGTCAATTATTATAATTTCTGGTTGAACCGGAAAAAGGATTAGATTTTCAGTGAAATCGGTCAAATTACTTGTCTTGCTGGTGTATGGATCACATGCAATCAATTGCTGGATTAAAATCTTAAAACTTTATTTGTGGTTCATTACTGAATTAACTTTTAAGATATCAATATATCATGTGGTGAGAAAAGCATTCAAATTGTGTTCGAAACCATAAAAATAGATTTTGGGTTAAAATAATCAATTTAGGAGACTCTCACTTATCACTTGTAATTTTCGGAAATTTATATTATAATTAATTTTTTAATCATGTTTGAAATTATATTATAAAAGAAGTCACCTTTTCAAGATTAATAATTTTTGCTATCTTTGATTATATTTGTAAAGAAACGTGAGATTATAGTACTACCTAGATGGCCTGGAACGAGAGAGATGTAAATGGGAGAGAGAGGGGCCTGATTGCAGAAAATGGTTTCTTAAAAGAACCATGGTCTTCTCCCGGTCCAAATATTTCAACAGCTGGTGTTACTTCAACGCAAAAGGCATTTGAAGGGAAAGGTGCTCTTTCTTATGCTAACATTCTTCGGTCCAGGAACAAGTTTGTCGACGCCCTTGCCATATATGATAGTGTATTGGAGAAAAATAGTGGGTGTGTTGAAGCCCACATTGGAAAAGGGATATGCCTGCAGATGCAGAACATGGGAAGGCCTGCTTTTGAGAGCTTTGCAGAAGCCATCAGGTTGGAACCTCAGAATGTTTGTGCTCTCACTCACTGTGGTATACTATACAAAGATGAAGGTCGTCTGGTAGATGCTGCTGAGGTATGCACTTGAGATTTTTAACCGTTAATTGTGTTTGGCTTATTGATTAGTGGTTCATTTGTGGGTTTCTGCAATTTGAGTCTACACCTTTTTACTTGTGCAGTCTTATCAAAAAGCTCTGAGAGCAGACCCTTCATATAAACCCGCTGCAGAATGCCTAGCCATTGTTCTAACTGATTTGGGAACCAGCTTAAAGCTTGCTGGCAATACACAGGAGGGAATTCAGAAGTATTATGAAGCTCTTAAAATAGATCCGCACTATGCTGTAATCTCATTCTCTCTCATTCATCCATTAGGAATCGTAGTTGTAGTTAAAATTTTGTACATGCAGTCATGGTCTTTCCAATTTCTATTTTCTCAATTTGTGCTGTTATATTGTCTTCCTTTTTACATTGAGTATATATTTAAATCCTTATACCTAATTTATACAGCCTGCATACTATAACCTTGGCGTTGTCTATTCTGAGATGATGCAATATGACATGGCCCTTAGTTGCTATGAGAAGGCTGCAATGGAGAGACCTATATATGCTGAAGCATATTGCAACATGGGTGTCATTTATAAAAACCGCAGTGACTTGGAATCTGCCATTGCCTGTTATGAGAGGTTGTATGCAGTTAGTTGCTTAACCTTGTTGTCTGCTGGGCCTCACATGTAGTTGGCTTATTTGAGTGGTGTCTCCATCTTTACTGATGCTCTCTTTGCTTGACTATTTTATTACCAGGTGTCTAGCTGTGTCCCCTAACTTTGAAATTGCAAAAAATAATATGGCAATTGCCTTGACAGATTTGGGAACAAAGGTGCTTTCTCCCCCTCGTTATATTAAATAGCATCATCGATTGATCATTTCCTAGTTTTATTTTTGAATTTTTTCATGACCTTTAGCCTAAAGCTTACAGGACGCTTATTTTTCTGAAAATTGGCCGGTTAAACACTTGAGGACTATATGGCTCTGTCAACCTGTGTCCTACTCTTGTACAGACATCTCTACAAAGAATTTGGCTCTTTTCTCCGAAAAGACTAAATAAATTCTGGAGGAGGCTATTGCATTTCTGAAAGAAAGTTATACTCCTATAATATTATTATCTTTGCTCATTTATCATCATCTATGGTTTGGACTATAACAAATTGGGCATTTGTTGGTTGCAGAATATTTGTGTTTGACGTTATGAGATATAGTTTGACAACATATTGTCTCTGTAGTCTAGATTTTTGTAGGTTTCTGTCTTCAAGATGTGGTATAAGTGCCTAGCCAGAAGCTTGTAAAACCATGTTTTTAGGTTTCCGACCGGCAAAGCATCAAATACATGTATATGTCAATCAAACTGCTTAGAGCTTAGAATTCAGATTACATGTTTGCATTTCTGTTGTTTCAAACAAATTAGATTATCTTCAGTCGCTTCTATCCTGTTTGACATCCTGAGAACCAGAAGCATTTAAACTGTGATCGATGTAGACAACTTATAACAGAAAAATATAGGGGCTGTAGGTCAGATATTTGAATAGTGCCCTTCTAATCATGGTATCTGGAACTATGATCGACAAACACAAGTATCTTAAGATACTATTTGCTCTCCACACAATAGATTTGGTTTTGGCACCTGTAATTGTTTGCGGAATCTTTTATCATATTCTGTTCATTCTTTAACTAACATTCACATTAGATCAAAATGCTTTCTTGCATCATTGGCAACTCTTATTGACTTGTTTGTGGAAGTCAGTCACTTTGTGCTTTATTTATGATAAGTAACTTCTCAGTTTTTCTTTCCCTGATTTTGCATTCAGTGATGTCTGTTCAGGTTAAGTTGGAGGGAGACATTAACCAAGGTGTGGCATTTTACAAGAAGGCTTTGTATTATAATTGGCACTATGCAGATGCTATGTATAATCTTGGGGTTGCTTATGGTGAAATGCTGAAGTTTGATATGGTAAGTAATTACTTAAGATTTATTTTCTTGGAAGTGCACAATTCTCTTTGGGGAACTGGATTTCTATTTGTCATTAATGGTAAAAGTTTTTTGTATACACTCTTAGTAATTAGTTCCTGCAATGTTTGCATCAGATAATAATCTAACTTCCAATTTTTGTTTGAGCAGGCAATTGTGTTCTATGAACTTGCTTTCTACTTCAACCCCCATTGTGCAGAGGCATGCAACAATTTAGGAGTAATATACAAAGATAGAGACAACCTTGATAAAGCTGTAGAGTGTTATCAGGCAATGTTTGACACTCTGTAACATTTTAAGCTTTCGTTCTCTACTGCCTTCCATGATCTTCATCATTAATCGTATCTTCTTGCAGTTGGCTTTGTCAATCAAACCAAACTTCTCTCAGTCGTTGAACAACCTTGGTGTTGTCTACACAGTTCAGGTTTGAAGTGGAATTTTAGATCTAACTGTTATACATGACTATGTCTCAAACAGTGATTGACTACGTGCTTACTAATTGGCAGGGTAAAATGGATGCTGCTGCTAGCATGATCGAGAAAGCTATCATTGCCAATCCCACATACGCAGAAGCATATAATAATTTAGGTTTTGCTTTTGCTTCTTAGTTCTTATGATGTTTCGAAATCTATGATTGTTTCTGGGACACCTTGTACATGCCATCGCTCTTTACCTTCACAGATACATAATCTTGCGTCAAATGTTTTGGGAAATAATTTCTTTTTTTTTTATATATTTTTTAATTTATTCTCCATGTCTTATTTGTTCAGGGGTTCTTTACAGAGATGCTGGCAATATATCCATGGCTATTACAGCTTATGAGCAATGCCTTAAGATAGATCCAGATTCTCGTAATGCAGGACAGGTACCATTCCATGAATCTTATATAGTTTAAATAGTAATTGCTTGCTAAGAGACAATTCATGCAATCAAAAACAAAAAGAACAAGAGAAAAAATTAAGTGCAGGATAAGTTCTGTCACTTGAAATGTCTATTCACCTTAAATTCCCTTTTTCCACCCCATAATGTTATTTGATATGACACTTTGGAGTTTTAGTTACCTTGGAGCTTCTTTGGTTCTTTCATGACTAATTGACTATATTTATGTCCCCTATAAAATAAATAGACAAAAAACTGGAAAAAGAAAGTTCTAGTATGCATGCTTTGAAAATGCTTCAGCTCTTCCTATTTTTTGATTGATCCCTTTTGTTTGTATCATATTTCACATTGTTTGCAGAACCGGCTCTTGGCAATGAACTACATAAATGAAGGAGATGATGATAAACTTTTTGAGGCTCACAGGTTTAATTGAACTCCTATCACCATAACTTGTATTTAATGTCAATTTCTTGTTAATATCATTCTAATATTTAGTTGTCATTACTAATAATTTGTGGCCTTCCTGGGAGCATTCAAGAAAATCATATGAACTAATTGCATGTCTTTCTATTAGCTGCATCACTACAAATATTCTTCTCGCTATTTTTGGGTTATGATCTTTAGTTAGTTTATTTCTTATCTACTTGTTCATTTTGTATAGGTATGAGCTAATTCATAGTGAAAAACTGTTAAATATTGAACCATATTCTATTTGCCGTGCCAGAATCCTGCTTTGAGCAATGGCTTCTTTGTCATAATTGTTTGCTTTAGAAATGCACTTTTGCTTACTGTTTAAGCCTTTTATCTGATGCAGTTCTTTCCCATGCAACATGTAAATGCATACTTTTAGGCCATAATGCCAACTTTCTTTCTAATTCCCTTGTTGTATTTTTGTCGTGAAAAGTAGAATGTATCTTGAAAGGCCTAAACAGATCCATAAATTGAAACTTTGGGGGATCCAGAGTTTTAGAAAGAAATGGATAATGAAGGCAGTAGCTTCATATTAAGTGTAGTTATGATATCTCCAGTATCCTGCTATGTATGACCTAAACAGATGCCAAAAGAAAGATTTGAATTACCTTTTTTACTTTCCCTCTTAGACCTTTTTTTTGATTTTATGACCTGTTTGATCATTTATTCATTTGTTGGCTTCATGTTTGACAATTTATATATACATACAAGTTACCTTCTTCCTAAAACTGGTTGAAATTTATATTATCTTTGACAATCTTAAACTTGGCTTTCTTGGGGCTTTCTAAATTGGATTTCTCAAAAACAGGGACTGGGGAAGGCGATTTTTGAGGTTATATCCACTATACAATTCATGGGACAACCCAAAAGATCCAGAACGACCTCTTGTGATTGGATATATTTCTCCAGATTATTTTACTCATTCTGTGTCTTATTTCATTGAAGCCCCTCTTATTTATCATGACTATGGGAATTACCAGGTGGTTGTGTATTCAGCGGTAGTGAAGGTACTAATGCTTCGGATATATTTATCACAATTTCTTAATGCTTTTTTCAGCAACCATCATCTATAATCCTACAGATATTAGAGTATTTCTTTGCATGTTTAGTTGATATCTTCCCTTTTCAAGACCAAAGACAAATTTCAATACCATTATAGATGTGTATAAGTTACTAAAAATTCTGGAACTATGACTTTGGATATTGTATTATTACAAACAATTTAATAAATGTGGTATCTTCTTTGTTTCTATGATGGACTATGTCTTTCTTTCTGAACTCACATTCTTATAATTTTGCAGGCGGATGCAAAAACTAATAGATTTAGGGAAAAAGTCATGAAAAAGGGTGGGGTATGGAGAGATATATATGGTATTGATGAAAAGAAGGTTGCAAGCATGGTTAGAGATGATAAAATTGACATCTTGGTAGAGCTTACTGGTCATACAGCCAACAATAAATTGGGAACCATGGCATGTCGACCGGCACCTGTTCAGGTATGCTTAAGGTACCATTTTTTCGTTTTCTTTTAACTATTTCCTGTTTATGTTATTCTGTCATCAATGGAACTAAAAGAATTCTCATAACAGAAGAAATCTTTTAGAGTGTAATTTGAGTTGATTTTTGGGTGTTTGGTTTATGCATGGTGATTTTGCTTTTGTGGTAAGCTTGATATGGTAGACTAGGCGTTTTCTAGATCTCTCTGATTTCTGTCATAATTTTTACTGTAGGTGACTTGGATTGGCTACCCCAATACTACTGGTTTGCCAACTATTGATTACCGAATAACTGATTCACTTGCAGATCCTCCTGGTACAAAACAGAAGTAGGTCCTGTTTTTACTTTATCCGACCTCATTTTTCAGTTAGAATTATTGTGTTAGAGATGATATGCAAATTTATTTCTACTTAGAAAATAATCCTACCCAATGGCAGGCATGTTGAGGAGTTAGTTCGACTACCAGAATGCTTCCTTTGTTATACTCCTTCCCCGGAGGCTGGACCTGTTTCACCAACTCCTGCTCTTTCCAATGGCTTCATTACGTTTGGTAGCTTCAATAATCTGGCAAAGGTACTGTTTGGTAACTGTAACCTAAAGTTAAACCATATATTTCTAATTTTTTATAGCATTCATCATTAACCTCTTATTTGAACCTTTATCAGATAACACCCAAGGTATTGCAAGTTTGGGCAAGGATATTATGTGCTGTCCCAAACTCCCGTCTTGTGGTAAAATGCAAGCCATTTTGTTGTGACAGTGTTAGGCTGAAATTTCTTACAACACTAGAGCAGCTGGGTTTAGAATCTCTCCGTGTTGATCTTCTCCCTCTAATTCTTCTTAATCATGGCCACATGCAAGCTTATTCTCTTATGGACATCAGGTAAAATTTAATTGCATTCGTTGTGTTATTGGCAACTAAGTTTTCTTTTTCCTTTTTTTCTCCTTATCTATCTTCCCATTTTTTCTGCATCATTGTTCCTGGTGTTATCTCTTATTTTCTCTACTTTTTTATTCGGCTGTTCTCTTTAGATTTTACTCATCTCCATCTCATCTTGATTTGTCGCTTCCCTAGTTTAAAACCATGAAAGCCACTTGTTGTAAAGCTTTTTGCTTCATTATTAGACTTTAGAAAGGTGAATAACAGAGATAATTGGTAGGCTGGGCTTTTTGCTATAGCCAGTTAGGATTTTCCTAATTTGTTGGGAAACATGATTGTTAGCACACCTGAAATAGCCCTGTGCAATCAATATTGGGTGATGCTTATCAGCACATGGGGCATAAGGGAACTCAAGGTACCAGGTTTGTTGAAATCTGAAATTTGCGGTTCAGTACAATCAGTACTGTTAAGATATTAACAAGCATTGATCCTGAGGAAAAATGGTTTAAATCTTGGCCTTTGAGTGATAGAAAGACTTGGATACTTCTTGCTATTTTCTTAAAAGTTTGAGTTTTCTATGGACTCTGGTGTGTGACCCATCAATTGTTATGTCAATAGCCAGTGTTTGTGTGACCCATCAATTGTTATGTCAATAGCCAGTGTTTACCAAGTGTTATGTGTGATCTGTCCTTTTGTTTGAGTTTACCTAGTGTATATGTTACGGGTCAAGACTTAAGCTCCGAACCCACGCGGCTCCGAGACCCGAGCATCCACTCATCCGACGTCCCAGATCAGCCTGACCATCACGGTTCACACCCTTGTGAGGTATTGTCCGCTTTGGCCTCTTGTCCTCACGGTTTTGTCGTACAAAAGGCGCCTCACAAGGCGGAGGTAGTGTAAACCCTTTTATACTCCTGGGACCCTCCTATTATGTTCAATGTGGGATTCAGGACTCTTCCTTAGGTCTTTGACATTCTCTCCTACCCAACCTCGTGACGCCCTCGTCACGGAGGCTGGCCACTCTGCAGACCTCCCTCGAGGCGCTTGGCGTGGATCGAATGGTTTAGGCCTGGCTCTGATACCACTTGTCATGGGTCGAGACTTAAGCTCCGAACCCGTGCAGTTCCGAGACCCGGGCATCCACTCATCCGGCGTCCCAGATCAGTCTGACCGTCACGGTTTACACCCTTGTGAGGTATTGTCCGCTTTGGTCTCCTGGCCTCACGGTTTTGTCCTACAAAAAGCGCCTCACAAGGAGGAGGTAGTTTAAATCCTTTTATATCCCAATAACCTTCCTATCATGTTTTATGTGGGATTCAAGACTCTTCTTTAGGTCCGTGACATATATATTAGGCAGTAATTCATTTTTCTGTTGGTCAAAGTGGTTTCTAATTACATCCTTTTTAGACGTCCTAAATTCTGTTACATATCTTATGTAGTTTGGACACTTTTCCATATGCTGGAACAACGACTACGTGTGAATCACTATACATGGGAGTGCCATGTGTTACCATGGCTGGTTCAGTACATGCTCACAATGTTGGTGTCAGTCTTCTCAGCAAAGTTGGTAATGAGCTTCACCTTTTCACGTTAATATCTATTAAGTATCTTTTTTTGTCTGGCTTCTGATTATATGTCCTTTGGCCTTTTTATTATTTTTCCTTCGGGTTTTTCACTCCGACATACCTATCATTCAAATTATTTAAACATTTCAGTCAGGACTTCTCTTAATGTTGGTTGAGGATGTTTTTATTTTAATCTTTTGTGATTTACATGCCACTGGATAAATGATGTTGCACTCTTGGTACTTACAATGTAGGGTTAGGACATCTGATAGCCAAAAATGAAGATGAATATGTCCAGTTGGCACTACAACTGGCCTCAGACGTCACTGCTCTCCATAACCTGAGAATGAGTCTTCGGGACCTTATGTCTAAGTCTCCTGTATGTGATGGACAGAACTTTATCAGTGGTTTGGAGGCAAAATATCGTACCATGTGGCACAGTTACTGCAAGGGTGATGTCCCATCTTTACAGTCTATGGAAATGTTACAAAGACAGGGTGTTCCTGAAGATCTAACTATCAAAACAGTGGAACCAGAAAGGGTCACAACCTCAAAAGATACCTCCCCTGGGTCAGTCAAGTCTAATGGATTTAATCAGGTTCCATTGCCAATGCTGAATCTCACTAGTGAAGAGAACGGGAGTCAGTTGAACCAGACTACAAATTTAGGCAAGCAGAGCTGACATCATAATTTTTGGTGCATATGTAGCATTTTGGTGGTTCCTTAAACTTTGAAACGAAGTCATTACCTTCGTGGGGACAATCCTCCTGTAAGGTACAACTATTATGACAATATCCACATGAATTGAGGCTGGTGGATAACTATGGTCGCAACTCCATATTACCTTCAATAATATTCCATTTTTTTTTGGGAGAAAGAAAGGCGGCGGAAATGAGTAAAAATATGATTTTGCTGTGTTCCTTTGAGAAGAATAGCGGATTGGGAAGAGATTATGAGCTACTGATATAGATACCTGAATTGCTGTCGCATTTTTCTCCCCTGTACTAGAATTGTAGAAATTTAGCCCTGGTTAGTATATTTCGAGGACAGTTTTTGTGTTTGCTTTAGCGCGGCTCGTGTTTTAGTGGTTTTGATAGTGGCATTGCTGGTTGGCTTGCTGGAAGGAGGTGTTATAATATAATTTCATGTTTTAATGTCATCCCATAAACTCAAATTTTGATGGAACAGAACAGCCTAATCATCAGGCCTTTTTATTATTCAACAGCCTCAACTTGTACCTTTCAATTCCCTTGTGGCTAAAGTCAGAAATCGGTTTGTTTGTTTGCTTGGAATGTTTAATGAGCACTGCAAATTCTAGCTGACAACCTGAAAATGGGGTAGCCATCAATGCAAATTTCCCTTTGTAGTTAATGCTGACGTTTTTGGGTCTTGGGAGTTGATTATGCTGCGAGCCATAAAATTTCTCTTGCCTTGTTACGAGAAAGGTATAGCCATGAACGTAGAGTTACCTCAAATAAGGTGAACTGATCGAGACATTATGCAATGCAAATGGGGAGTTGCAGTTAGCATGATAAAGCTAATGATAATCGAATTCTTTTCATTTAGGTGAGCCTCGTAACGACCTCAAGTATATATATCTAGCATTTATAATACAAATGGGAGACAGGAATGCATGGAGAATAGCCAAGCTTGGTAATCCCTGCATCCACAGACAACCCTGCTGCAAGAGATGACAATAGGCTGCTGGGCAAAAGTCCAAAGTCAGAAATGCCATTCAAATACAAAGAAAGCAGATAAGACGAACGTAATGATAAACTCCAAAGAAATGCCGGTAGTTATTTCTTCATTGTTTTACTCCTTTCAGTTAAAAACAACTCTAATTCAATGTACAACACATTTATGAATGATCTGGTTCCAAAACAGTCATGGAAAACAAGGCATTTCTTAGCACTAAAATTTGCATTTTGCCAGCTCCGGTGCTAATCTTTGACAGAAGTCCGTAATATCTTCACATCATGAATGGGTCTGCATTAACAGGGAAAAACAGCAAAACATGAATTCATCTAAATGTTGAAGTCCTTAGGAGCAACTTCCAATAGAATAAAGTTTAGTAGTTAGTTGAGTGTTTGAACCGTAGAGCATTAGAAAATCAAATGAGATTGGGGGCATGCCTTGGCTAGGGGTCGCAATCCCTGTTGCAATATACGTGCAATAACTAATAAGATTTAGGTCAACCTAAGATGACCGTTTAGTTAATCCTCTTGAATCGCTCAACCCAAAGACAACTTGTTTATTAAATAGGTAACCTAGTAACAAATTTTTAAGTAAGTCATTTAAGGTTGACTTGAAATGGATCTGATTCTTTTAACTCATGAATTTACAAAATCATGCTTTCAAGTGGTTGACAAAACCAAGTTATAAATTCCCTTTTCCAATAATTTGGAAAGAAAATTCCAATTAAGTTCAAAAAGTAACACATTCCATTTGTTCTAAATTGAGGCAAAAATAAAGTTAAAAAATTTTAAAAAGCATAAGAGTAAAGAACTTACCGGTCATTGCTGTCAGTTTGGACACTGCCAAGCCTCTTGATAATTTCCATTCCCCTACATACTCTTCCAAATATTGTGTGTTTACCTGTAGACAAAATCGTCAGTCAAAGCATTACACATGAGGAAACTCCATGAGATCATTAGCTAAAGAACGGCAACTACATGGTATTAAATTGTGCAAATACAAGAAACACAGCATAAGGGAGAGAATGAGCTCAAAGTTCTCATACCAAAACTCAATGATTTATGTTTCTTACATGAAACAACCTAAAAATTACCACAAGGAAGAAGGATGCATAAAGGAAATACCATTCAGCAGAAGAAAATTGTTTTCATCGTCTCAATTTATGTATTTGGTTTGGCCCTCAAGGTCAAAGGTATAGTTAAACAACTTATTGATCCAAAGCAAATCAAAGAAAATGGAAAACCCCTAAAAACATCAACTAACCTCAACTGCCTTTGCCTTTTTTTCCGCAAGCTCTAAAAATTTTACTGTTATCAATGATAAGCAGTACAATAGCCTCAGAATTAGTTCAGGATGAGAGTCTACCCCAAATAGGTTGGACTAATTGGCCTCGACACCAGTCCAACCCAGTTCATGGACAATTTTTCACAGAAGTCTAACAACCTCAATAATTTCTAAAATGGTTTGAGGCTCTGCTCCCAATAAGTTGGGCAGCCAATTGACCTTGTTACAATTCCAATTTGATTCACAGATAAATTATCTAATAATAGTGACCATCATCTTAGAACTTTAATAGCTTTTAGCTTTCAAATTAATAAAACTTATATTTTCAAACAATATGTGATTTCTAAAACAAAGGTATCATGGAATCTACAAGTACAAGCATAAAATTACAGTTGGCAATGACATTTCACATAAGAAATCATAACATTATGCAGCTAATAACAGAAAAAAAATCTTGATATTAAAAAAGAAAGATTAATATTGCCACTAGCTAGGTTTTGTGAAATCCACAGATTTCAACAATTCCTTCCAGAGATTGACCAAATAATTCTTATTGTAACTATGAAGAAAACATCATTACCATCTAAAGACGGTGCTGGTGACAAAGTAATGAAAAACTGACTTCCATTTGTATTCGGACCAGCATTAGCCATAGATAAAATACCAGCTCCAGTATGCTTTAATTCAGACCTTATCTCATCATCAAATACAGGACTAAAATAAAAAACAAAAACAAAAATCAGTAATTAAAATCTAAAGTAGAAATTTCACTTCTCTATATAATAAAACACCACCAAAACTGCCATCGATTGAAGCAAAAAAATGCCAAAACAATATTAAAACATGTTAATAAAACTTTTACAATGTAACTTCCAGGGTTGAAATCCATAAGAAAAGCATCAGATTTTATCACATTAAATAAATAAGAAAAAGAATCATGGGTAGTCTCCAATATCAATTATGAAAAGTCCACAAACCAAAAAAAAAAAAAAAAGATTCAGCTCTCAGTAACTAATGTTAAAAGAAAAAAAAACATACCCATAAATAGATTCTCCACCTTTTCCAGTCCCAGTTGGATCCCCACCCTGAACTATAAAATCCTACATCATAACAACCAAAGACAGGTTATAAAAACTAGTTACACAAAAAACCAATGAGAAAAATTAAAAAGAACAAAGAAAAAAAAGAAACCTTGATAATTCTATGGAATTTGACATTGTCATAATAACCTCTCCTGGAAAGTTCAATAAAGTTCCTACAGGTTCTTGGTGCATGCTTGTAATATAGCTGAAAAACCCAGTAACAAACACAAGAAATAATAAAAAAACAGGTTGAGCTAATGATTATAAACCCAATATATACTGAAGCATACTCAGTTAAAAAAAAAAGCTGCGTTTTACCTCAACAGTGAAAGACCCCATGGAGGTTTCTAGAGTAACCTCTGGTGGACCTCCCTCTGAACTTGCCCACATCTTTCAAATAGAAAAAGAAGGGTTTTGTACAGACAACGATTTCAGTTTCAGAGGACAGGAACTTCGAAAGAAGCAGAAAGTAATTTTAAAGGAGAATACATAAGATTACTTGGGCTGGGTCCTGATAGTTTTAAAATGGGCTTTCATTCTACAACTCGGGCCGTAAAGCTTCCAACTTTTCATTTATCTTTCATGTTCCAAACAAAAAAATAAATGTTTTTCTTTCAGGTGCCAAAATACTAGACTTCTTTTGGCTGTTTCTTGAAAAGAACAAAGATTTTGTTCAAGTACGAAGTAACTGGATTATTTCAGAGGCGGCTCATGAGACCCATCAGGCTTCCTAAACCGCCCATAGGACGGAGGAGCACGGCTGAGGTGTTCGAAGGTGGGATTTATGAGTCAATAAAACGGGTTGTTGTGATTGGAAATGGCTTCTCGGGAGCTGAGAATCAATGCATCGGTTTGGTTCGGGCTTTAGGCCTCTCGGGTCGTCATTCTTTATATGTAAGCTTCTCTTTGCATCTCTTCTTTTACTAGTTCATTTCAAAGTTCATTTTTTTTTTCTTTTTTGGTTTCTTGAACGTGTCCCAAGATTCAAATTTATGTAAAAGTACAGCTAAACAAAGCTATATGTGAGAAATGGGAAATTTGGATTATAATTATTTGTAGTATTTGTTTAATACTGTTATGCAGCGTGTTACAAGGCCAAGGGGAGGGATTAATGAATGGCTTCATTGGCTTCCAGTTTCTCTTCATAAAAAAGTGGATTATATTATAAGGCAAGTTTGCAGCTATTCGCGATTTCAAACGGAAGCTAGAGGGAATAAAGTGGTTCCTTTTTTAGTTCAAAATACTGGTAACCATGCTTTGAGCTCTCAATTAGTATATTTTTTTCATGTTATGGCACCAGAGATGGCACCCTTTTATGCTGAAAGGTTTTTGATTTGGCTAATTTGTTTTAGCCCCAAAAAATAAAGTTCATATGAGAATGGCTGTACTGCAGGCTTGTCCGATGTTCTAGAAGCTGATGCAAAACAAATTGCAATGATGGCCCGTGATACATTTGAGAAGTATATTCTTGTAACTTGAATTTCTTTGTTACTACTACTTTTTGTTGCACAAGGTGACAGTTGAAGTTGAAGCTATATGGTTTTGCATTCTAAAAACAGTTCTTCCTCTTCTGATTAAATTATGTTATGTTTTTATTTAATTTTAACCTTTCAGGGATGGTCCTCTGTTGTTGGTTGCATCTGGTCGGGATACAATTTCTGTTGCAAGCTCCATTAAACGGTTAGCTACAGAAAATGTTTTTGTTGTTCAGGTTAAACTTTCTTTTCTCTGTTTTTTTAATCATATATTTGACTGTGATATTTCATTGGAGTTTCCATTATGTTGATACAAGGCAGTTGTATGTTTCCTGTGAAGTTATTCAACTGTTTATACTTTATTGACCTAGGTGATTTCATAGTTGGTTAAAACTTAAAAGGTGGTCAGAAGATTCGACCTTGTTATGCTCCTTTTCTGGATACATATTGACTTTCTTTTTTCTCATTAGAAAAATTCCAAGAAAAATGGCTTAAAATTACCAGCTATTGTTTATTCATTATGGTGGTAACAGTATGGTTTGTTTACATATTCCAGCTTTTCTCTATTTGTCCACATCTGTTATATTATCCTTGTGTTAGTTTTTTGCTTTTCAGATGCAAATACTGCAATATATGTTTCTAATTTTTTTTTTATTACATTTTTCAGATACAGCATCCACGGTCAAGGCTGAATAGATTTGATTTAGTGATCACTCCTCAGCATGATTATTATCCACTGACTCCTCAAGCGCAGAAACAAGTCCCTTGGTTTCTCCGGAGGTGGATAACTCCCTGTGAACCTCCTGATAGACGTGTGGTATGTATTTCAGTTGTAAAATACTCACCCAGAAGGGATCTGAGCATAGGAAAACCTTTTGGTGGCTATTAAATTTTAGCTGCCCTTGTTGTTGATTGTGGGTTGGAATATCAGGTTCTCACTGTAGGAGCTCTTCATCTGGCTGATTCTGCTACACTCAAAAGTGCTGCTTCTGTCTGGCATGATGAACTGGCACTGCTTGCAAAGCCCTTACTTGTTGTCAACATTGGAGGACCAACAAGTAATGTTTAGTGCATCATTGAATTTGTTATCATTTTGATTTATCATCTTTCCAAGGAGCTAATTTTTGTTGGATTTTGCAGTCATTTTATGTTAATTGGTACTTAATGATTTTTATTTTGATTGTAGTTAATTATACTTATAGTTCAAAACATATTAACATACCTTTGGATATGTAGGAATGTTGTTAGTTTGTAACATACTACTAAAGTATCCAATGACAGTTATTAAATAGAAAAGGATTTAAGCTCAATCACGTATCTACTAGCATCATGTTCTATTGTCATTGTTGAACTGAGTTTAAATCCTTTTTTTATTTATTGTCATATTTTTTCAGTTTTGATAGTGATCTGGGCAGAAGAATCTGATCAGTGAACTTGGTCAAATGGTCCAGTTGTCAAAAGCTGAATTTCTTTTAGTTATAATTTGATAGTGTCATAGGGCTATTTTTATTAAGCAAGCAGCTTTTTAATTGCTATTAGTATTAAAAAAAAATGTCATAGGGCTGTTTTTAATACGCATGCAGCATTTTAATTGCTATTAGTATATAAAAAGAAATGAATGATATCTTGTGCAAAATATCTACCATTCCACCTTTTAAACCTTATCTAGTAGTCTTACTATCATATGCTAAATCAAGACTTCACGCAGGCAGCTGCCAATATGGTGTGGATCTTGCAAAGCAGCTAACAGCTATGCTGCCGAATGTTCTTTGGAGTTGTGGCAGCGTCAGAATATCTTTCTCAAGAAGGACTCCTGAGAAGGTAAAAACACTTGAAAGTTTCTATTGTCAAATTTCTCAATGAGAACTTGTGTTTTGGTTTTCTAATGAGTACTCCGATTCTTCTTGGGAACTGAACTAATAGGTATCAAAAATCTTATTTAAGGAGTTTAGTACCAGTCCAAAGGTTTACATTTGGGATGGTGAAGGTAAACAGTTTCCAGTATTTCGAGAGATTTCCTTTCCCAAGTTTTCATGTGAACTAAATTTATTCACGCACGGATTGATGCTTGTTTTTTAGGTCCTAATCCACATATGGGACATCTAGCTTGGGCTGATGCTTTTGTTATAACAGCTGATTCGGTAAGCATGTTGAGTGAGGCTTGCACTACTGGGTAGGTCTGGAGTAGCATAACCAACCTCTTTTGATTAATTGTTTAATATTGTCCTTTTGAATCTAAGCATCCCTTGTTATAAATCTGCTGTGCTTCAGAAAACCGGTCTATGTTATAGGTGCTGAGAGATGTACATGGAAGTTTGCTGACTTCCAAAAGTCTCTGAGGGAACGAGGAATGGTTCGCCCTTTCACTGGCAAAGAGGATGTAAGTTATCTGATGCCTATAATGTTTCTTCCTGCTGATTTATTAAAGAAAGCGACCATAAGTTTTCTCTTGCAAGTGTAATTATCCTTGCCTTCTTTGCAGAATACCTCTAGAATAAAAGTTTGAATGCAATGAGCGTTCTGTGTAATAACAATGAGAAACTTGTAATTTTGCACGCCTGTTGATGTGTTTGTTTTACAGATTTCCAAGAGCTGGAGCTATCCACCATTAAATGACAGCGCAGAGGCTGCTAGCCAGGTGATGAAGGCACTTGCTGAGCGTGGATGGATGATACATACATAATCCAGCTTGTAACATTCGATTATTATCCAATGTTTTGCAATTGCTTTCATCCAGTTTTTACTGACAGTGATCTTATTGTGCACACATGTCCAAGGGCATACACATCATAAAAGTTTTTCTTTTTGTTTTTTCACAATTGATTTTGTCACGCCTTGTTTGTTGTTCAACAACTACAACTTTGAGCACAAAAACCTGTTATGAAAGGTAAAAGCAGACATGAATTCTACTGTAATCACCATATTTCTATCTAAATTCTAATCAATAGAATGATCACATTTTTTTTTTCTCCATCTCTGTTGAAATATAAAAGTTTGAACTGTACCATAGATGCATCATTAATTAATATTGGCTTCCCCTCTCTCCCCTGAATACTGATGTCTGGGAATGAAACAAGATCCTCCTCATGAAACACTTCAGAATGCAATGCTCATCCACTAACAGGGTCATTCGGATTTGACAATAATTTTGGCTTTGGCGGAAATTCAAGTTAAATTTGCAACATTCGAACTACTGAAAAAAACCTCTCTATTTGAAGCAATTTGTACCACCAGCAAATATTTTGTTTGGCATGAATCAACGTATGCTTGAAAGCTTCAACCTTCAAGTAACAAAGTTTTGAACATAATTGATCTTAAAACCTCACATTTCTCCCTCTTGTTATTTATGAGTAAATTATCTCGCGCGAATTAACAAAATCAGAACTCGACAGAAATGCATAAACAAGATTGCAGACAACCTTAAAGAATGCATTAATGGTGTATTTTCTGTGACAAAAAACCATACCTAAAGTCGCCAATCTTTGTTTTAGGCAACGACCCATTTTAGTGTTGTTGGATAAGGGAGGTCAGGTGGGTTTTAGTTGACTGATTAAGAGTAGAACACGCTTTTGTGAGTCGGTATTTTGTCATAGTTTTGTTTGGCTCAATTACAAATTCCTACTCCATATTCGTTATGTCGTATCAAGTCAAAGATATAGCTGTGAATGACCAAAACTTTGGTCTTGGAGCCTCTCAAACATTGAAATTGACTTTCAATTTCGTCTAATTCTGACTGAATAACTTCAGACATACTGATCCAAATCTATTAATCGACTGAGATTTCTCTACCAACTTCGATGCTATATTATAAATATTTCTGATAATATGAAGAAAGCAGGCAAAGATTTCCCCAACTCCAATAACAAAAAGATGCACTTAAGGCTCTGTCAGCAATAATTTTTTTATACAAAGATGTTGTAGTTTAAAAATAGGGGAACGGATTATAAACGTTAAAATTTAAATTTCAATATCACATTTTAAAAATTGTTGTATGAACTATTGAATTAAATTTCCGATTATTAGTAAGCGATAATTTACAATACATGCTTTCCTAGCCAACTATTCTCAATCTTTTGAAAGGCCTCTATAAAAACTTCATCCATTAAGCCATTTTCTGTCATTACAAAGCGTCAAATTCTCTTCTATTCTTTCGTAGTTCAGCGAGCAAATCTCTCTACTCTTGATTAAAAAGAGAGGAGAACAATGAAGAGCGGTGATCACTCAACCATTGATGTTCCAGAGTCAGGCGCTGTTGCAAAAGGCAAAGCACCTCTGATTGCTACTCCCAGGGAGCAAAAGAGTGGATTGAAGAAAGGAATGGGCATTTTCGACTTCCTTCTGAGACTAGGAGCCATAATTGCAGCTCTAGCTGCTGCTGCTACCATGGGAACGAGTGATCAAACTCTTCCTTTCTTCACTCAATTCTTCCAGTTCCAAGCTAGTTATGATGATCTCCCCACATTTACGTATGTGATTATATTATTCAACGTAACAATTTTCCTTCTGTCTAGATTATTATAACCTGGAAATTAAGAGAACTATTGTTTAAGAAAGTACTGAGAAATGTATGCATATTTGTTTTGAAGGTTTTTTGTGATCGCAATGGCACTAACTGGAGGCTACCTCGTCCTTTCCCTCCCTTTCTCCATAGTTACCATCGTCCGTCCTCATGCAGTTGCACCAAGACTCCTCCTTTTCATTTTGGACATTGTAATTCCACTGCAACAATTAAACTTAATTACATTACGAACATTTTTTACATGGCATGCATGTCAGAAAATTCACATCAATCGAGACAATATTTATTAACGTTAAGTTTTGTGTATATATAATTATATATATGGCAGGTGGCATTGACTCTGACCACGGCTGCCGGTGCGGCGGCAGCAGCCATAGTCTACTTGGCTCACAACGGGAATCCTAACACAAACTGGCTAGCCATCTGCCAACAATTTGGAGATTTTTGCCAGAAAGTGAGCGGAGCTGTGGTGGCATCTTTCGTGACTGTTGTGGTCCTCATGTTGTTGATTCTACTTTCTGGTTTTGCTCTCAAAAAGCCCTGAAAAAAAGATTGCTGAAGATCAGAGCTTGACAATTATGCTTCTTAATTTCTTTTTTTTTTTTTTAAGTTTGTTTATAATTGTTGAAAAATTATCTTTGTTTCGCTGTCTGATAGAACAAATATTTAAGATTACGTTGTAATTCTGTTGAACTTTGATGAGGAAATTACAATTAATGAAAAAATGTTTAACGTGTTTCATATGTTCAACAAATCCACCCCTTCTTCTCTTTTAATTTGTTGTTTATAAAACTTTATTTACTTAATATTATTTTTATATTTGGATATAATGCATTTAATTAATTAGAAACCTATACTGTAAGGAACCTTCAGTTTGGTGAATATAATCATCATCAACTAATTAATTAATTATTAAGCAAAAAGGACATAATTAAATGATAATGATCAATTAAAGCATATGAATTTGTCTAATTAGATAGGAAACATTCATACAATTTTACAAATATTATTTTCAACTCATGATAATTAATTTCTGCAATTAATTTTTAGATGACAATTATCTCATGGAAGATATCATGGTTTTTAAATTTTAACAATGAAATTAAAAAGTTATTAAATATTTTTTTAACATAATTAAGAATATTAATTTTTAATAAAATAATAAATTTATTTGTATAAATTTAATATAAGCGAGTAAGAAAAAAAAAACTAATAAAAATAGCAGTAGTTTCTTTTCAGTGTGAATTTTTCTGATTGAATTAAAAAATTTCTTTAACCTTTTTTTTCTTTTTTTGGATAATTCTTTAACCTTTTTTGTGTAACATTGTAGAGAATAGAAGGCTATTTTGGTAATTTAGTACTCATTAAAGTATACTTCCAACTGCCGAATATCTAGAGAATTGATAGACGAGTGTTCAGCTCTCAACATCGTTTACGTTGAAACAAAGAAAAAACCCCTTTTTGCTAAAAAAAAGAAAAAATTTCCCGGGAAAATCATCAAGAGAATCGAATTTAGGGTACAGTGTTTCGAATTAATCAAATCCGAAAATGTCTCAGACTGGAAAATTGATGCCGAATCTCGATCAGCAGAGCACGAAGATGCTTAATCTCACTGTTCTCCAACGAATTGATCCTTTCATAGAAGAGATTTTGATCACTGCTGCTCACGTCACCTTCTACGAATTCAACATCGATACTAATCAATGGGTTCGCTTTCTCAAGCTTCTCTTTTTAAGACTTTGGAATCTTAAATTTTTATTTTTGATTTGGTTTAAAATTTGGATGTTTGAAATTTTCAAGTTTTTCACTTTCCAGTATTAGATCCTTTCTCTTTTGTGTTTTTAGCAATTTTTGTTTTTTGTTTTTTTATTTAGAGTCGAAAAGATGTTGAAGGATCTCTCTTTGTTGTTAAGAGGTAAAATATGTTAATGTTTTTGAGCTTTTTTTAGCATTGACTTTGTTATAAGCAAGTAATTAACTTGGGAAAGTTGATTGAGCTTATTGTAATGATTTCTGATTGTGTCCTTGGTTTTTAAGGAATACGCAACCTCGGTTCCAGTTCATTGTAATGAATCGGCGTAACACAGGTGGAGTTCTTGTTCTTAATGAAAGAGCTTGGGCTTTTGCTTTAGCCTGATTTGATATTATAGCTGCTTTTAACAAACAGATAATTTAGTGGAGAATCTACTGGGAGATTTTGAGTACGAAGTTCAAGTTCCGTATTTGTTGTATAGAAATGCTGCACAAGAAGTTAATGGCATTTGGTTCTATAGTCCACGTGAATGTGAGGATGTCGCAAACCTCTTTAGTAGGTATAGCATCTTTCTTGTTTTTATGTCAAGTTAGCTGACTTTTAATAATTGATGTTGAGCATGGTTATCCCAAGTGAATTAAAACATGGAGGTTTAGTTTTTTTTATTTCGTATATCCTTTGTGTTATACATTACTTATGATTATTTTTTCCCAAAAAGAAGGGTTTAGTAGTTGAAGGCATTCCTTTGATAAGTGGTTTTGATTTGGCAACACTCTTTTGGTTGATTGAATTTTTCAGTATTTACAAATTTGGTGACAAGATTCTAGATAAGTGGGGTCAGTGCGCTCTAATATGTCGAACTTATAATGCATGTGTTTTTTACTTCAAAACTATCAAGTGGGAGACTTGTTAATGATATGCATTATGATATGTTGCATATAATTTTTAAATTGGTCACAATATCTAAAACAATTCCCTTCCATCACAGCAATCTTTAAACTTTCGTGATTTAAGAAAATACCATGAAAGCACTCAGATAAAATTATATCAGTGCGTTTTGTGAGATATGATTTCAATAAGAGAAGTTCTATGGCTGTTTCTTTGGGTGGTTTGAATTCTAAAATTGTATTTGTTGTCTTCTTCGCAGAATACTTAATGCATATTCAAAAGTTCCTACAAAGCCAACAGTATCTTCAAGCAAAAGGTAATGACTTTCAGGAACCATCTATAAAGAATTTACTGCTTTTGTTACATATTTAACTGTTAAATTTGCCCCTGCAGCTTTCTGGATATCTATTTAAGTCTTACCTTTCATGCTTAGTGCTTTTGGTACCATATGCCATTTTGAACAAAACAATTTCTTGCCAATTGTCCGTGTTGTGTGTGTAGAGTATCCTTTGGGTATGAGGTGAGGTAGCATTGTGAACAAGTGAAGGATTGAGGTAAAGGCAGTAGAGAGTTGGTCTAGAGTGGAGTCTAGGGTACCAAATGTTGTGACAGGATAAGAAAATTGAAGGTAGGGAGTGGAGGGAATATGAAGTAGGAACTGGAGAATAGAGAACATGTGGGACATGGAGTTAAGAATTGGAATTGGTAGTATATGTTGGAAGTAGGTGAGTGAGATGAGCTTTATGTGAAAAGCTTATTGTTATGACTTATGACAATGAGCCTAAACTGCCATATAGGTTATATAAGTCGCTCCCATAATGTAATTTAATAGATAATACCTGCAAGACATGCTAAGTCACATGGGTAATTTGTAATGTTACGATCAGCCAAAAAAAAGCATCTACTTGGTATGATATAAATGATTATCACAGAATTTAATGATTTTGTTGTTAATCCTTGGAAGGCAACAATACTTGTAGTATATTATCTTGCTCCTGGTGGTGTATTCCAGTAGTCACATCCTTAATTTCTTTGTCTTCCTATGGTGTCGTAGTTTTCTAACCTTATGTGTTATAATAAGGCAGTGAATTTGAGGAACTAGAAGCTGTTCCTAGCATGTCTGTAATAGAAGGCCCCTTGGAACCACCACCAACTGCCTCTCGTGCTACCAATACTCCTGAAGATTCATCATTTGTCAACTTCTTTAGTGTATGTCCACAGCTGTAACTCACCTTTTGGCTTTTCAAGACCTAATATTTATCAAATGTCTCTGATCTCAAACTTATTTGGTTCACTAATTTCAGGCTGCAATGAATCTTGGAACTAATGCTCCAAATGGCACAAAATCCGTACAGCCTTACCATTCTATCTCAACCAACCCTCTGTCTTCTCATGCACCACCTGCAGTCTCCACTCCTGCACCTGCTCCACCGGTGTCATCCCTTCCTCCTTCTGCTTCACCTTCGCTTGATTCAGTAAGTAGCAGCAACCGAGTAACCAATCTTGTTAAGCCGTCTTCATTTTTCACACCCCCTTCCTCATCATCATCCTCATTGATGATGCCACCTCTCTCTTCGTCAACTCCAACTGCTTCTGCTTTTCATCCAGCCCTCAATCTGCAACGTCCTTATGGCACTCCAATGCTTCAACCCTTTCCACCACCTAGTCCACCTGCATCTCTTGCTCCTGGTGCACCACCTTCTTTGCACGATGGACCTCTTATTAGCAGGGATAAGGTTCGCGATGCACTACTAATGCTTGTTCAGGTATTTATATTATTTGCTCTCTCTTGGTTCATGTTTTTTACTTGTAATGTTAATTAATAGCAGCTTATATGGCTTGAGCATGATGACTAAATAGCATTTAGCCAATATATATATATATATATATATATAAAATTATTATTCTTCACACTATAAGTAGAAAATGCAAATACCCCTGAAATATGAGACATTCAATAAGTGGTATTGTCCAGATGTGAATATCCTTGCACATGTGGAATAGTATTGATGAGAATTCTTAGGATTTTGATGTCTGAACTAGGTGTGGTATGTTTGGGAGGCCACTAATAAATTTGAAGCATCCTCATCGTGAAAGCTGTAGTTATTGACTGACTCTTTTCCTTTGTTCTTATCCCAGGACGATCAATTCATTGATATGTTCTACCAAGCATTGCAAAAGGTGCATTGTTCCTAAGCACTCTAAAGTTGATCCTCAAAGCCTCATTTCAATGTCCCATGTGCCTGGTATACTTTTAGTTCCTACAGTCAGGTATCTCAACTTTGACACTTGGTTTGATCTACGCTAATCGTTAATGGAGGACAAGTTGTGAAAACATACTCTGTTGGCATTCAAGCTTGTATAGCTGGAGTTGATGCATAAAATTAAAATGTGACTCAAGTTTGATGAAGTGTCAAAAAGGCTGTAGCCTATATAAAAATAAACAAACTTCAGCATGCAACAACAAAACTGAATTCTTGGGGCTGAGAGAAGAGAGAGAAAATAAAAATCACCTTTATTTGCTCCACCAAAGGCCACCTTTGTTCCATCCATGTCAACCGTTATCCTTGCTTTCTCCGCATACACCATTTTCTCTCTACAACCTCGATCTTGCTTTCAGGGGAGAGATATCCCTTGTTGTTGATATTCTGCTGAGTGTTTCTTTCTGAACCGTCTGAGATGTGCATATTCTGTGGGTGGTGGGCTGCGGCAGCTTTGTGAGTGGAGGATAAGGTGAATAATTACAACATCAGTTTCGGTTTGGGAATTTCTGGCAACCTTATGGCTTGTGTTTTCTTGGACTCCAATCTGCTATGATATTTAGTTGATCTAATCAGTTAGAGAAGATGGAATGCCTAATTCAGCAAAGTAAAAGTTTGAGGTGTGCAACGGACATTGAAACAGAGTTTGAGGGTTAATTTAGTGTTTAGTCTTAAAGCAGTAATGGATTTCCCCTTGCCAGATTTCTTTGATTGATCAATGATTGTAAGATTGATTCTGTTTATAGTGTGACCTTTCTGTCCTGTCAACTTATGTGAGAAGCTGATGCTGTCAGCTCTTTCTGTCTCTTGGAAGCATTGGAAGTTTGGTTGAACATCTTTGTAACTTTCTTTGGTGGAATGCAATAGTAGGAACAGAACTTTTCTTTTCTTTTCCTTTTCAAATGTTTAATATGTAAGATGTAAGCTAGTTGATTGTTTAGGATTCTGCTAGCATTTGTCAAAAACTCTGTTAATGTGACTTTACTGCCAAAAAAAAAAGTTACTGTTTAGCCACTTGAGAAATATAGCAAAAGCACCATTTTTGTCTAAATTATGTCCTTGTAATATTTTCGCGGGGAAAGTGACCGAACCGGACACACCATGTAGGGGAGAAATTTTAAGTGTCATGTCATGGCAATTGGTGAGGCTTGCTAATACATTGATCTGAAACTATAAATATGTCATTTTGATCGGAGGCGTTAATGGGGTTTATTTTGGAAATTGTTTAACTTTATATCATTGACTTGTTCATGTGTTGTTGCATGTGGAATCCAGCAAAAATCAAAATATATAAAATTATAAATTAATCATTTATGAACATTTTGGAAATTGAAAAGGAAATAAGGAATTTGAAACTTGGAATAACAGTTAATTATACGGTTTATTTAAAAGATGATATTAACAAATTTAAGGTTCAAATTTTAGCACTATAATTGTTTTATCTTCGTACCGTGAATTTGTTTATATAAAAAAAAAATCCATACCCTGAAGTAGAACCTTATTGCAATTAACAACGGACTTTAAAATGGCATTTTGGCAATGGACTTTGAGTAGGCTCATGTAGGCAGCAGCTTCATTTAGGTTGAGCCCGCCCAATCACATAGTATTGTCAGTAGGTGTAGCAAAAAACAGGGGAGCTGTCACTAAGCTTGTTCCTTGCTTGCTTCGCCGTCGTCTCTTTCTGTCTTTGCAGTGGGCATGGCGGCACTCAGGAGACTTATTACCGGAAACCCAAAACACTCTTCCCTTATTCCTCCCACCCTTCTTATTTGCCGCAGAGGTATCGCCTCTAAGCTCTTTGTTGGAGGTACCCTTTTTCTCTCACTTCCACTTTTATTTTCCCTGAATATATACTATTCATTCTTTTCATATACTGATTTCAATCTTTTATTAGTATCTGTGACCTTAATATTTTCTTTAGGAGAATCCTCAGTTTATCCTGTAAATTGATATACTTTATCAATATGACCTATTTCTTTGAAAAAAATTCCCTCCTGCTCCAGCTCATTTCATTCATAAGTTAGAATTCAAGAAACCCAAATGCAAAATTATTTGAATATTTTCGTTTGTAAAAATCAGGTCTATCATTTTACACCACGGAGAAAGGATTATTAGAAGCATTTTCTCAGTATGGTCAAGTTATGGAAGGTCGGTAGGTGATCGAATCTTTTTAAGTCGTGATGTTGTGAGCAACATTATACTAACGTTGTTGCTTGTGCCAGCCAAAATTATAACGGATAGAGTTTCGGATAAATCAAAAGGCTTCGGATTTGTTACTTATGCATCTCAAGATGAAGCTGAGAAAGCAATAGCTGAGATGAATGGAAAGGTACAGCATTCGTATCCTTTGTCTTTTATATTGGGATCTTATGGTAGTTTCAGAAATAACAAAGAGATTATTGACAGGAGTTGAGTGGACGTGTTATTTTTGTGGACTATGCTAAACCCAAACATAATGTGGGTGGTGGAATGCCTATAGCGAGGGGACCTCCTGATCCCATAGACAAAAACTGATTGCTTTTACAAAGAAATATACATTTCAAAGACACTGGCAGTGACAATTAGGTACAATCTTATGTTACATACAAAACATCTAAACTTAGTAATTCATTTGCACAATGATAAAAGTGGCTTTTAGTCATTTCAGATCCATCTAGCAGCCCAGAGGACCGGTAGTCACTAGAAGCAAGAGCTGATAGAAGTTTGCATACAAGTCTCAAGGCCAAAGAATCCAGTGAAGAACATTGGCTATTAAAGTTCATAGGCTGTTTTAGCCTTGTAGTATTTGTTATAGTTACATGGATAGTTGGATACGATGCAGGTGGACAGTCTTGGGCATCATTTATAAGTGTGGATTTTATATAGAACTTTGATCGATCCCAAACAATTTTGAATTGTGATTGATTAATTGCAACGTAATGATTGTAGGTGATATGCTTTTGATTGATATAACTTGATGAAATCTTCTTCTTTTTGCAAGATTAGTTCAGATTTCTTAATGGATGATCAAACTGGTGATAGTGAAATAGGTAGAGTGGGAGGATATCTTGCTTTGATTGGTGCTGCCGCTGAATTATACTATTTTCTAAGAGATTGGTTAAGCTGCATTTTGTCATAATGATAATCTCATGCTGATAATCTTATAATGATAAGAAGCTTTCTATAGGCTTAGAACATGATGCCATTAGAAAATGACCGTTTGTAAAAAGCAACTCCTAACTTGGGAGGGTTGATCCTGTAGGATCAGGTGAGATTAGGATCAATCATATATAAACGTGAGTTTCATATAAAACTAACTTTGATAGATATAATATAATTTTGAATTATGATTGAATAATTATAAGTGATATTATTTTCTAAGTCAGACTCATGTTCTAACATGGAGGGTGTCCTATATTACCATAGAACAAAAATTATGCCATTCATCACCCAAAAAACAAAAATCATTCAAAATTAAACAAAAAAAAAAACTTAGAATCAGGAAGCTTGATGATTGGTAATTGTACCGTCTTAAATAAATATAAGAAAAATGTGAAATTGATATTTACATTATTACATAATCCTGCTTTTATATTTCCTTTACAAATAAATTTTATGAGTAAGAATTTTGTTAACAAGTATTCAAATAACACTTTTTAAGATTACAATGTTAAGTAATATTTTATTTTAATGAATACATATATAATATTGTAATTCGAATACAAGACAATTAAAAATTGAAACCCGGTCATGATTACAGATCAATTGCCGTTGGCAAGAAACTCCATCTTTAGCTAATCTTTTGTTTTTGTTTGTTTTTTTTTTTTTTTTTGTCTCTATTGGCTAATTTTAATTAATTAAATTTTTGGAAAATATTTTTATATTCTTATCTTAAGAAAAGAAACAATCCGGAGGAAGCAACCGCCAAAACGCCAAACGCAACGCAAAGCATTTCTAGAGCCCCTTCCCTTCTCATTTTCCTTTCTTTTCTCTCTCTTTTCCTCTCCAAAAATTCCGCAACTTCATTCTTCCTTCTCTCCTCCCTTAGTTTTCCTTTTCCTCTTTTACCCTCCAATCCCCTCTTCAAAATTACCAAGCTATCCCTACCATTCATGAACATCCCATCCATGTCTTCCACCTGCAAACTCACCTCCCTCACGTGCATTTCCCCTCTCACCGACTCCCCGCACGTGACCACCACCCCGCACTGCACCAACTCCGTCGCAGCCCCACTCTTCCCGCCGGCCACTACCGATGCGAACTTCACCTGCACCTCCCCGCTCAGCCAGTGCCGATGTACGTTTACCGGTCTTTGACTCGAGAGATTCATCGCCCGTTTTCCTATAGGGTCGATCACGATCCAGCTCAGCTCCATGTCCTCCTCCAGATCCCTACATGTGTCCGCCGTGTCAGGGTGTGCTATCCGGGTCGAAACCGCTTCTTTCGGATCCAATAAATCCACCCGAAAAGGTGAGCATTTGAACCAAGCGCTTAGCGTTTCCGTTTCGATGACTTTGCTGAAAATGAGCTCCTTTTTGTAATAAATATCAACGGCTGAGATTAATTCCGATGGAAGGTCAGGATTTTCTGACGAGTTCTCAAAGCTTGCGGGATCCGTGGTTAATGCGAATGCGTCAGAGAAGAACGAGCGGGAACCGTTGCTGGAGTTAGAGATGACGTGTTGAACACGTGGAGAGCTGGTGGAAGGCCATGTCGAGTGACAAATGTTAGTCCACAGGTTTTCCTGTGACGCGAGTGCACGAAAGTGAGTAGAGGCGCAGGAGGCGGATGCGAGAGTTGGGCCATCAAGTCGGGTCAATATATGGGTCTCTATGATGTCTGGATGGACGGTAGAGATTGCTGCTGCGATGTTCTGATCAACGTTGGTGATGTCGGGAGTGCAGAGTGCAGGTTGCAGTGGTGAAGTGGAGGAACCGGCCATGGTATTAGCGTTTATGTGTTTTGAAAACAGCGGGTTTTTTCGGTGCTTGGGGCGGATGATTTTGTAGTTTGAGGTTTATATAGGAGTGCAGGAAATTGGTAAGTTTCCTTTAACTTTCAATTAATTTTTTATTTCTATTTGTACCAAAAAAATTTTATATTTTTATATTTTGGGTTTTGAGAACTGCTACGGTGAAGGTCAAGATGATTGCCATCAAGAGGCGGTCCAGAAAGCCGATGAAAATGAAATTACGTACTCCATAGGGACATGCTGTCTCTAACTTTAAAATTTTTTTTTTAGATTTTTTTTTTTAATATTGAAATGATAATACACTGAGTTTGAATGTTTTGATAGGATCTTTGTCATCATATGTCAATTTTTTAATTTAATTTTCAAATAAATTGTTTTAATAACTAGTAGTATATAGTTTCCCATTGATGTAACATTATTAGTATAAAATAAAATATATTTTTAATAATGGCAGAAGTAAAATCACATCATTGTGCATACTTTTTAATTAAAAATCTATAATTCAATCAATACACAAAATTGTAAATATTAAAATTAAATTAATTAAATTTTTATTTTTATTTTATTTTATATTTTTACAATTGTTTTTCTCTTTGAACCTATTCTAGCATCTATTTCCATTAGTCAAATAAATTAATTATACATTATTGGATTAAATAAAGCAAAATAAAAAAAAAGATGGGTCATAAACAAATAATAAATTAAGAAAAACATCATTTTCATTTGTCTTCTAAATTGAATCCTTCTGTTTGAAGTTATTATCTTTATCTTTTTTTTATCTTATTTTGGTTTGCCAGCTGACGTATTAGGATGATAATTATCTTTCTTTAGTGAATTATAAATTATAGGGTATCTTAACGAGCAATTGTTTAAGTCAGGAGTCAAGAGAAGATTATAAATAACAAGAATTAACTTTGAAAGAACAGATATACTACAAGCCAAGTTGCCGAGTCACAGAAGTTTACAGGTAAATTATATATGAGGAAATAATTTCTTTAATAAATTAATGAAGAACCCTCATTATTTTTAGTTAATTATTGAATTTTAATTGGGGATTGACATAAAAAAATAAGTTTGCATTTAACTATTTCTAGATCTTTAATTTAATCTGCAGAGTTTTGATATTGCTGGTTTTAATAAGTAGGAAAGAAGAGGAAACCAGTCTCTTGAAGCGGCTGTTTAACGGCTCTAGATGCATCATCACAATGAAAATATATATGACTGAATGGACAGAGATGAAAAAACAGGAATGGGAATAGAAATTAAGGGTGTGAACCGGATTTGGTGATTAAAGAAATGAGTAAGGCCAATGGAGATACTTAGAACATACTCTCATCCGCTAATAATTAATTAATTTGTGGCGACGGTCGTCAACTCTAGTGGCGTTTTAGAGATTGGATTAGGTATTTGAATCCAATATCTCTCCACGGTCCGAATTGTATCACACTGTCCGTTCTTGTGACGTCCAATAATTAGCCTTTTTGCTTTAACAGTTGAAAGTGACAATTATTTTCATTACTTTGTTAGATGGATTAGGAGATTGATGCCGACATCCCCCGTTTTATAGAATTGAAAAAAAAAATTTGATATTGGAATTCAATCGGCCAAATGAAATTTGCTTGATGGGTAGCTACATTTTATAGTTTAGTTGAATTTAGGGTTAATAACAAATTAAATCAAATTGAATTTGATTTGATTTTTTAAAATAATATATAATATTATAAATTTTTAAAATTTGATTTGAATTTAAATTTTATTTTTTAAAATCGGTTTTAATATAATTAAAATTTTTAATTTATTTTTATATATTATTTTAATATAATTTTTAATATAAATAATAATTTTTATAAATTTTAAAATTTAAAAATATATAAAAATTAATAAATATATATAATTTGATTTAATTCAATCTTTTATTTTTTTTATTTTGATATAAAATTTGATCTAAATTTAATATATTCATTTAATTTTTAATTTTGATCCAAATAAAATTAAAAATAAATTTGAATAAAATAATATAATATAATTTTAAATTAATTTTTATTTTCTCAAAAATTTTCTTCTACGCCTAGTTGAAATTTGCATGAGCAGTAGCGAACCAAGTTGGGAATGGCGATGATCTGATCAACGAGTGAAGAGAAGCAAGCTGTTCAACTTGCGTTGATGGCGTCATAACAATTTAAAATATCGGTTTAATATAGTAACTAGCTAGAATCAGCTGTGGTTGTTGACATTTAACTCTTAAATTTAAGGAAATAATAATAAACTAATATATCTAAATCCTCAACTTTATGATTTTATGATTTTGATAATAACACTTAGATTTGTCATTGTATTCAGTATTCAAGTCAAATTTGCAGTCTAGATGGTTTGCATGAAAATTTTTATTTTAAAAAAATGAAATAAAAGTCAAATTTGTCACTGGATTCATATTGAATTTTGTTATCATATTTCAATTTCTTTAAATTTACTATTCACATTAATAAATATCTCGGTAAATATTTTGATTTCATTAATTTTGTTATTAAAAAATTTAATGAAATTAAAAATATAATGATAAAATTTCACGAAATTAAAATTTATCGAATATTTTCAAATATTCATTAATAGTACAATAGTAAAATTCATTTTCATCCCAAAAAATTTTGTTATGAAATTATAAATTTTTTATTGTATGTGCAATTACTATTAATTAATTTTCTCAAATCGCTGGCTAGGGAGTGGTCGGCCTTCAAAAAGTATTAATTAATATTTGAAATTTAAAGTTTAAACCATTATTAAAACCAACATGACATGATATCATATATATATATATATATATACATATATATTTTTTACCTTAAAGCTTAAATGATGTTTGATCACTTAACAAAATAATTTTTAAACCCAAAAAGGCATGCATGATGTAATAAGACATGAAAAGGGGTGAAATTAAGTCACATGACGCAAGTACGGCAAACGAAAATGCTTTTTTTTTTTTTTTTTTCAATTTTTCATCGCTAACATTATACCAGCCTTTTTACGTTTGATTAATTTATATATGGTTATCATATTTTTAAGAATTTTATTTAGGTGGGTATTAAAGATACTTTTAAAGGTTATATATATATATATATATGTATATGTGTGTGTTATTGGGTATTATTTAAGATTTCATTTATAATAAATATTACATGCTTTAAATATAGTAATTAATAGTTAATGTGATAATTATTTTAATTTGAATGAGGAAATTATTATTTAATAAAGAAACCTTAAAGTATTCTTAATAAAATTTTAATTTTGGATTAAAAAATGTTAATAGGTGCCAAATGATATCGATTAAGTTGGTATTTAAAAAAAACAATTCATAGTTAATATATTATTTTTTTTTATGAAAATAACAGAAGTATATCGCATATAATAATTGTAATACAATTAATTAATTACAATTTATAATTGTGTAAAGACTATCAAAATTTTATTTAAAATTTACACTTATAAATGATGTCTCATTATATAAAATTTTTTATTATGATTGGATAATTGTAATATTATGATAAAAAATTTATAAATAAAATTATCCATAAAATAACTATTAAATGTAAAAATATTTTTTAAAATAATATTTTAATTATCTTTTTTCATGTCCATAGACACTTGCTTTTTTTTTTTTTAACATATGTCCATAGACACTTATTAATTAGTAATCATTAAGTGATTATTTCTATTTTCTTTAATAAATTAAGGTATTTTTTTTATAAAATATCTATAAGTAATTTAAATTGTTATCCATTATAATTATGGAACTTTTAATGTTTAGCCCTTAATTTAAATAGTAGGTTAATATATATAGGAATATGCTAATTAGTGTCTAGTGGCACCATGATATCTAAAGAAAGAAAAGCGGGATTAATACATTATTCTTTTCAAATTTGATAAAAATAGTATAATAAAAGCTAAAATTTTATTAAAATAATAATTAAATAATCATTAATAGATGCTTATATACATTCGTTTATTGGGCCCACATATATATATCTTTTGGATCAAAAGTTAAATTCGAATACTTTAGGAATAATTGTATAATTTGTCGATAAAATGATGGACTCGTAATTGTAATAATTAAGATTTAAATCTAACAATTTTAAATATTAAAAAAATTAAATAAAAGCCTATGTATTTCGGAGGGTAAATCAAAAGAGTTTGTTTCTCAAAACACTTAACGAAGAAAAAAAGCCCAAAAGTGATAATGGGTTTGGTGGGTTGTTAAAAATGGGAGAAGACCAAACCAAATCGAATGCTCAAAAATGAACCACATGTTTGTCCTAAGGTTTGATATCGTTACACGTAGCACCATAGAAACATCCAATTTCCAAGCCTCGCCCAAATCATATCCTTTCTGGATTTTTCAGTTTTTAAAAGGACGGGTGACGATCTGTTTTGAGATTATACATTTATCCACGTCTACGGATAAAAACAGTCCTCCCTCTCTGCCACGTCAGCCTTCTTTTGATTCCATTGCACTTTAACATTCCCTTTGGCCTTTTTTCCCACCATTTTCCTCGCTATTTTTCCTGCGATCCAAACGCTAAAAGTTTTACTGATTGATTCCGTTGCAATTTTTACATGTCGATTAAATTTCATCATCACAACTTCGTATCTTCAAGGTACTTAATGTTCTTCCCTTTTCCCATAAATTTCTTGCTTTCACTTGAGGATTGTTTAATTCTGGTTTTGGCCGAGTAATTTAGGTTTTTATTTATGAAAATTCCGTATAAAATTATTCAAAGAAGCTTTTTAAGTTATTTTTCTCTTGAAAATTTGGACGCTGAAAAAAGATTAGGGGAAGAATAATTGAAACAGTTTTTGTCTTTTACACAATTTCTGGTTACTTAATTGATTAACCGATTTTTCTAGTTCTCATGTCTGGTGAATTGTTTCGTTTTCTTTGCAAGCTAAACAGCTTGATAAGCTTTTTATTTTATATTATTTTATTTCTTTTAAGAAAGAAGAAAAACCGGTCAAAGCTCATGGCGGTTTTTGAAAGCAATTTTTGTTACTTAAATTGTGTTTGTTCAGTGTTCATGGATAAGTTTAAAATTAAGTGAATTACTTCTGAATTTTAGTGGCTCGCGTAAATTAAGGAGTTGTTTTATGAGATTTTAAGTTTAAACCTTTTAAACAGATAATGTGGTATTTAGGATTGCTACCAAGTTGAAGTTCAAAACATAAGTTGCTAATGATCTTATATTTGCATATTCAGTTGAATAAAAGAAAGAACCAGGAGCAGCCTGGCTAGTTGTCTATAGATTAAACTAGAAACCCTCTAGAAGGAGGATGAAAAGAAATAACTAAATGCCTGTTATAATATCAGGAGTTGACATCCCTAAGAAATAAGTTATCTGCTGCACATAGAATTCTTTTATCAATTCTCTGTGGAAACGCTTGTGACTTGCTGGTTCTGGGTTTTAGCAGGTATTCAAATCCATGTCTTTCACGTAATTCGTTTGGAACCCATGTTTCTTGCAAAAGAATGGCTAACTTGGATTATCTGTTGACAAATTGGGGTAATTTGAGGAAGAAATGTCTTATAAGGCGGACATTGTCAGATAATCACTGGCTGGTGGGTTATAGGAAACATTTTTCAGCCTTTCGTAAATCAAGAAGGATGGAATACCATTTTCCTCTGGCATCAGCTGAAGACGGTGTCACTGTCAACGGGAGTCCGCAAACCAGTACAAGTACAGATGTAGATGAGATAAGGGTCAAATTGAATCAATCACTGCAGGGTGAAGATTATAGTAATGGACTCGTTCAATCTTTACATGATGCAGCTAGGGTTTTTGAGCTAGCAATCAAAGAACAAGGCTCATTATTGAAATTGTCTTGGTTTTCAACGGCCTGGCTTGGTGTAGATAGGAATGCATGGGTGAAAACACTCTCTTATCAGGTTTGTCTTGATTTGTTCTTTGAGCTTTTATTAATATGTTTAATTTGATGCATGTTTTTGTACTACCAGCTTTCAAGGTGTGGTTCTTATAAGACTAATTTGTCAATTTATTTACAACGCTTTTTGTTTATTTTGAACAAACACTGTCCCTTTTCCCGACTAAGAGATGTTATTAATTATTTTGAGCATCTTTCTTTTTCCTTATTTGTTTATATCTAAACTTGTTATATTTTACCAGCACAGTTTTAATAACATTTTTTTCTTGTACACTAATACACATAGTGTATGTTTCCATCTCAAGTATCATTTAAGCTACCTAAATTCTCATGCATTTTCTCAGGCTTCTGTGTATTCACTACTGCAAGCTGCAGGTGAGATTTCATCCCAAGGTGATAGCAGAGACAGAGATACGAATATTTTTGTGCAAAGGAGGTAGTGCATTGCATATATTTTGTATTTCATGTAGCTCATTGGTCTTTGCTTTTTGCAGATCCTATTTAAACATAAACTTGCTTATGTGTATTTATTTGTTGATCACTAGCACCATATATATTTGCGTAACACTTTTCAGCTTATTATGCAGTAAGAAAAACTGAATATTTTTTCACCTTGAATATGGTTATATTACAATTGGCTTACAAGTTACAAATTTGACAATGGGGTCTTAATGATTTTTAATATTAAGTTGCTACCCTCTGGTTGTTATATAGTAATTGGTTATTTTTGCTGAACAAAATGGCAAAAGGCAATCATGTTGTGTTGTGAAATATGAAGTGGAGATTGCTTGGTAGTTAAGGGCCATTATATTTTGCTTTAATTATGGAGGCAGACTATGTTATAGTTGTCCTCTGAAGTTTCATTCTATGAAGTTTTGCTGAAGGAGGCTTGCAGGCTTTCTCTGCCATTTCTCTATATTCATCAAAGATCTCTGTTTTCATGATACTCATTTATGTGTTTCTAATCAACTCTAATCTGCTAGTTCATATAGAATTTTCAGCATCTTCTAACAATCATATTGGTGCAGTTTGTTGTGTCAATCTGCTCCCTTGGAGAGCTTAATCAGGGAAAAACTATCAGCCAAGCAACCTGAAGCATATGAATGGTTTTGGACTGAGCAAGTTCCAGCTGTGGTTCTCTCTTTTGTAAATTATTTTGAAGGAGACCTTCGATTTACTGCTGCGACAGATGTGTAAGTAATTGCCTCCTTGCTTCTTCATGTGAGGCTCTCTATGAAGCTCTTGATACTTGTGATGCTTGTGATGATATACTGACTCCTTTAATCTGCTCCCAGGAGTGGGAAAGGCAAGTCCTTGGGTGCAGGAAGTGCAAGTGACAAATCTCTTCTCATGCTTGCACTAACCTGTGTTGCTGCAATCACAAAACTTGGTCCTGCTAAAATTTCCTGTTCCCATTTCTTTTCCATGATCCCAGACATAACTGGTAGACTTATGGACATGCTCGTTGATTACGTTCCCATACACCAAGCTTTTCATTCTATAAAGGACATTGGTCTACGCAGAGAATTTCTTGTCCATTTTGGTCCTCGAGCTGCGGCATGCAGAGTGGAAAGTGATCAAGATTCAGAGGAGGTTATTTTCTGGGTCGATCTTGTACAGATGCATCTGCAGCGAGCTATAGATAGAGAGAAAATATGGTCAAGGCTAACAACATCTGAAAGCATTGAGGTTTGGACTGAGAGTTTATGATTTGTCTACATTTTGAGACATCCTGTTCCCTTTTCATCCCCTAAAATAGCATCCTGACCGGAGGTTCTAAAATAATCTAATAAGTCCATACCTGTCAAGGCTGAATCTGTTATTACAAGATGTTTAAGGCTTTAAACCCAACATCCTTTTAGAATATGATGGATAACATGTGAAAACACGAGGGTTGAAGGAGGAAGCAAAGTAATTTCACGTATGCTGGAGGACTGCTACATATTGCATACGTACAGTTTTTGTTTTGGTAGAGGTTGTCATTGAAAGTTAGACTAATTTCTTGCAGGTCTTGGAAAGGGATTTGACCATTTTTGGGTTCTTTATCGCCTTAGGCAGAAATACACAGGCTTTTTTATCTGCAAATGGATTTGATGTTGTAGATGATCCTATTGAAAGCTTCATTAGGTATCTTTGAATACATTAGCCTTTTCACCTATTATGATTGGATTGGTTTCAATGGTTTAGTTGTGCATTTAATTCAATGCCTTTTGTCTCAGGTACCTTATAGGTGGCAGTGTGTTGTACTATCCTCAACTTTCATCAATAAGTTCTTATCAACTTTATGTAGAGGTCAGCATGCATGGTTTTTGGTAATTACCTTTCAACAAATGTGTTTCATGATGGACTGTGATTTCTCTCCTGCTTTTAAATCCATTAGGTTGTGTGTGAAGAGCTAGATTGGCTTCCTTTTTATCCTGGCATTGTTAGCACATCAAAACTGTCTCATGGACATAAAAGCATACAAGAAGGTCCTCCTAATATTAAAGCTATTCCCCAAGTGTTGGATGTTTGTTCTCATTGGATGCAGAGCTTTATTAAATATAGTAGATGGCTGGAAAATCCGTCTAACGTTAAGGCTGCAAAGTTCCTGTCTAGAGGGTAAAGGAGTTTGTGGTTCTTTAGTTAAAAAACCAAGTTATATCAGATCTCTTTTAAATAATTTGAACAAAGTGTTGCTATCTTTATTGTTTAGGCACAACAAGTTGATGGTGTGCATTGAAGAACTCGGGATACCATCGTAAGTTGTGGATGCTTAACCTTAGTCTTCCTTCCTTCCCTCACTCTCTTCCTAGCACCCCCTTCTCTCTCACACACAACCCACCCACCCCCCACAGGAGCACGCTGCCTGCTATAATTTTTTGTAACTTATTAGTAGGTCCCTTTTTAAAATGTCTATCAGTCAATTAAAAAAAGGATATATGTGAATCAAATACATCATGGATACCTAACTAAGGATCTGAGAAAGACATGAAAGATCTGAAATCTCGATACGCATGCTAGAAAATTTCTACCATTTATGATATGTATGTTCATTTGTCCACAAAATTGCAACTACATGTATATTATGAAATAAAAAAAAAAGTGAGTAACATAGTTAGTTATCCAAAATTAAGAACAACAGAGAGGAAAAAAGGCCAAAGCTTGCTGTGTTTGAAAGAGCTATCTGCTGATAAATACAAATGAATTTACAAAATGTTTGCAAAGGATTTTAGAGGGAAAACATTTTCTAGGACATTTTTGAGTTTCAACATGGAAAAATCTTATAGTTGTGTTCTGTTGCTCCTTTCTTTGTATTCGCTGAAGCAATAAACCAGTGCTAGTCATGGGGGCATCCATGGGCATTATTATGTTGTTTGATATGGTCTTACATGGATTTGATCCGATAAGATATTTGTTTGATGTTGTTGATAGATGAATGGTTGCTTCACTAAGATGTTTATCATCCTTAGTCATGATAGTTAATGGTAAGAGCAAAATGAAGAAATTACCACAAAGTCACAGACTTATTGATTATTTGGCAGTGTGATTTAATTAGAGGGCAACCTGTTGTTGTGTTACTGGTCATGTGCCTGCATTGCTGCTTTCTATTGTCAATAGCTGTGACATTACTTTATCTTTACTGTATCCATAAATTTTTAATTTCTTATGTGTTTTTTCTTCTTCACTTTCTTCCTGCATCAAACATTGTCTGATCCGATTGATGCTAGACCAACCCACTAATTTTATTTTATTTGATTTATTACTGCTAGCATGTACTTTACATTTTGTTCGTACTTTTTTATGGGGATCATATGCTTTTTATTTATTTTTGTGTTATGCAAAAAAGATGTGGTTAGCACCTGGTTAGTTGCTGCATATCATGTTTACTACCTTCATCTCATTGTCATGCAAGTGTCGCATTCATTGGACAATGGTACTTTATATATAATGATTGCTAATTGCTATTATACTTGCTGAAACAAATGTGATGCAGAAGGGAAATGGTGGAGACTAATTCTGTTGGTAGGACTGGTTTAGTTCCTGTGAACGAGTCAGATTCATTTGATAAGGTTCCCCCTTTTCCCTTTGAAATTAAATTTGTTTAAAAGCAAATTATATGTAGTTTGGAACTCGCTACTGTGCCTATGCTGGTGCTAATGGTAAATTTTTAAGTAACAGTGGGGCCTATTTTTCTGTTTATATACTTTAGCCAGATCTGTTAATGCTTCCGCCTTTTTCTTATGAAATCTAAGATGTCAAAGCTTTTGCTTGCAAAATACTTGGCTGAGGTTACCATCCCATCCTTTTTCTTGGTTCTGGCTTCTGTGTGCACTAGATTTTCTGATGTTCAACTGCATTGGTGGATAAGCTGATTATTTGGTTTGATTTCCATTAATATACATGATCTCTGAGGGAGTGAACAAATGATAAAATGTTTGATGCAAAGCAAAAAGAAAAATAAGAGTCCTTGAAAATTTTGATTGTAGGTGTTTCTTTGAACACCAGAGTACCACTGAGAACAAAAGATGAGCTAAAATGTGTCCAAAATACACACACAAGAGGCATAAAGATGGAAAATTGCAATCTAATAGATTAGTAGTTGTTACAAAGTTCACTTTACCAGTCTATAAATCAACTGTAACGTCCAATGTTATCTTATGTAACCATTGGTCTTGATTATACTTCTTTCTAGATTTATACTGGATAGAATTTAGCGTATGTTCAATAAATGACATCGTTGCTTTCTTCTTTCTCATCTTTCTTCTGCTCTTCTGTTATTACTTGGAATGGTTTTCATTATGCATTGACATCATGTTGGTTTCAGACATTAGAAAGTGTTGAAGAAGCTCTGAAAAGACTGGAAAACTTGCTTCAAGAGTTGCATGTTTCAAGTTCTCACTCCGGGAAAGAGCAATTACAAGCAGCTTGTTCTGACCTTGAGAAAATAAGGAAGTTAAAGAAAGAGGCTGAATTTTTGGAGGTATCTTTCAGAGCAAAAGAAGCTTTCCTTCGACAGGTTTCTTCACATCCCCTCCTCCTCCTTTTAAGTTATTCTAATTTTTGTTGAATATGATTTATTCTAGTAGTGCCTGCCCTTCACTATGAAATTAATGCCATGATGGCAAGATGGCTAGGCTTTTCAGTCCCTCAAGTAGAAGATAAATGCTTGCTTTTTGCCTCAATAAAATTGCACTTGGGGGTATGGCCAGGAATATTGACAGCAAAGAAAATTTTGTACTAGGTTTGTTTGCAAATTAGCATAATTAATTTCACGGCGTTAGTTGTGGGGTAGCACTACATTAACCATGGACTATAGGATTGGCTTTTCCTCTATTTTGGTAAATTTCAGGGCTAGCTTTGCAATAATCTAAAATAGTTTAGTTAAAATTGAAATTAAGGTCAAATTTTGGTTTTTTCTCTTTCCATATAATTGGGTGTTTTGCTTTGTTTACATGGCACTTCATGCCTTAATCTTTTGCACACGCTATAGGACATATTGTGAGCTTAGTTTTTGTTTTTTTTTTTGGCCAATGAGCTTCGTTGGAATTCATGTAAATCATTATTCTCTCCAGGAAGGTGGTGATGGTGGTTCCGAATCCTTTGTTAGTGAGCAGCAACGTTATCCAAAGACAAAAACAAGAAAGAGTGCTACTGTAACAAATGATAGAAGCAACAGGTAGCAACTTCAGCAGTAGACTATAGCTTTTGCCTGCTTTCTTGGAAGTTATTTTTAATGCTAATTCAATCATTGTTCTGCTATTCATGCCTCTCTATTTTATTTATGTCTTTTTTCCTCTAGAGTTGTCAATAAATCTCGTGGATTATGGAGCTTCTTACACCCTTCAGCCAGGAAGCCTGACATGGAGTCATCAGCTATAGAGAAATTGGTATGACCTGTCTCCAAAAGTAGCATTTGACACTTGCTGATCATGCATGATCCTTTTAGTATAAGACTTACATTTTATGTAATCTCCTGTCAATCTATTTCACCCCCAGTGAGCTGGCCTTGAACTCTTATTTCAAAGCACTTGCGGACTGTACCTTTTAATTCTTGAAATTATATCTTTGGGCTGTCTGAGTAGCTCCTAAGTGATTCCTGGTTTCACATGTGTTTTGTTAATGAAATTATTATAAAGCTGGGACATGTTGATCAAGTTTAAGTTGTTTGTGTATTTGGATGGACGGTTGGACATAAGCATTGATTGAAGGTTTGAGGATCTCTACTCCTCCAAGAAGTTTAGGTGTGTTTTTTTAGTGAAGGACCTGAGAAGAAATTTGTCATCCAAATTATGTTTGGAAACTGCTTGTTCTTGGATACACAGTCAAACATATGCTATGATAGAAAATTCTTAGCTTTTGAGTATAATTATGATAACCAAAATATAAGGAACTAAAGCATTTATGTGATGTTGGGAATCTGTTTATTTAAATGAAAGCTATGTCCAATTTTGTGCATGCAGGGAAATGATTTTATTGAGCAGAATACTTCAAATATTGGTATTGCTGATTCAGAACCAAATGAAATCCGCCGCTTTGAACAATTAAGGAATGAACTAATCGAGCTTGAGAAACGTGTTAAAAGGAGTGCTGATCAGCCAGCATATGAAGAGGTACGCTCAAGCTGTTAACAGTTGTGTAATTTCACTACAAAAGATGCTGTCATTGTGAGAACAAGAAACATGTTGATGCATGATAAGTTAACCCTGAACCTTCAGAAAGGCTTGATTCTTCATGCATGTTTCTAATTTGCATTTCCTTGTCCAAATTTGTTCAGGATATTAATGATGCTGGACATGCTCAATTGGTTGAGGTTCAGAAGAAAGAAAGTATTATTGAAAAATCGTTGGACAAGATAAAAGAAACAAGCACGGTATGAGTATCTTGAGGATTTCCATAAACCAAATCATTATTACTGTATAATTAGCATTCTATGACTACTCTAGCTTTGATTTATATGCATTCTTCCACCTTCTGGATGAAACTAGTTCCTGCTTATTTAATCACTTACTTATCTCTCATGTTAGAATTTATTTTGACTAATTGAAACCATTCTTTCTTAGCTATTCTAAAACTTTTCTAAATGGCCCATGATAGGGCTTATTAGATTGGTTTAAGGCCAGAGGCACTCTCTGCATTTTAAAAGTCTAACATATGGTTTATTTTCCATCTAATGATAACTCATAAACTTTATATTGTATCCTAATGGCTGTAAACATGCTTTAGCTCTTATTTTATCAAAAAGTTTGGTGATACCATATCTGTTCTAGATCTGGTTTCCTTTTCATGATTCTGCATGCTGAAACAGTCACTTTATTTAACAGTAGTGAGGGTGCTTAATTCTTTCTGTATCCCTTCTTTGTACCATATCACGTTTATATGGGTAACTGGGTATATGAAACATATTGAAGTGGGTTACGCATGTACTGCTTCTACATAAAATAACTTTTTGGCTTGCTAATGTAATTTTTTTCCCTCTTTTTGAGGAACTTTGAGAATTATGAGTCTAGATTTTTCTGATCCCCTGCCTAATGATTACTGTTTCAAGTTGAGAAGTCATCTATCATTTTTCTCATGAATGCTGTCATCTGAGTCATTTACCAATGACCAGGATATCTTGCAAGGAACTCAGCTTCTAGCCATTGATGTTGCTGCTGCAATGGAGTTGCTTAGAAGGGCCCTGATAGGGGATGAATTAGCAGAGAAAGAAAAGAAAGCCCTTCGGAGAACTCTAACTGACTTAGCATCAGTTGTTCCAATTGGCATTTTGATGCTTCTTCCTGTAAGTTAAAATACATCATTATGTCAACATTGTCTTCCAATGCATTGTTGATCAATCACTTTTATCTTTCTTATCCACATAACAAATCCATCAAGGAAACTCTGCTTAAATCATCATCTTGGGTCAATAAAAGAGCAAAACTTTTGCTAATAATTTGACTGCATGAGTCGGGATTGAAAATTGAGTTCAGAGAGAATACTCTTCTTATAATTTTATCTGGACTGGAAGTCTTTGTTCACATAACTTATCTTTAACACCTACAAGTTTCTCTAAAGTAAGTTTTTCCTTTTTTCTTTTCTAACTATCCAAAATAATGAAGCATAGCATAAACATCTAGCATGTAGAGTACATCAGGTAAGTGCTGTTGACGAGCCCTGAATTAAAAGAGAATTACGAAGGAATAGTATCTCAATCACCTATACATGACTGGAGAAAAGTAACTGATTTTGCTACATATCCAGGCATCTTTTATTTACAATTCAATTTGTCATCAATCAAATTGTGTTTAATCTGATGGATAAAATTATGTACTGCAGGTTACTGCTGTTGGGCATGCAGCCATTTTGGCTGCCATTCAAAGATATGTACCAGCTCTGGTGTGTCATCCTTCTTGTTTATGTCTTGCTTCAAGTGCTGAATTTCTCAATGGCTAACAATCTGTTTCATGGCAGATACCATCAACATATGGACCTGAAAGGTTAGATCTCTTGAGGCAGCTTGAGAAAGTGAAGGAAATGGAAACCAGCGAAGTGGACAATGAAGAAAATGTGGAGGAAGTAGCCTGAATTCCAGTGGAGATCTTGTACAACCTTTAAAACCTAAACAATTCTTCCCATATAGGTTGACAGACAGTTTCCATTTTTTGTTTTTTTTTTTGGTCTTTTCCCAGTTTGGGGATCACTTGGTTCTAAATTCCATTGACAGTAGGTGAGCATAGAGAAGTTCATTCCATGTGTCTGGTATCCCAGGTAGGCACCAATGGCTGCAGTCTTGTGGAGCATTAGGTAGAGTACCTGGCTCACGGTGCCTTGACGGGTGACCATCTTTCCTGAACGCTGTCAGATATGTAATGTTTAAAAACTGGACCTTCCAGTTGCCATACGTCATTTTTTTGGTTACATCAGTAATGTATTGATTATTCCATGCCTCAGCTTTAAGCTTTTTGTAGTTTTTTTCTGGTTCTATTTCTGCATCACACACGCCCCCATCATCCCATTTGCCATTCCTGCAATTTTCACAAGTAAAACACTCGGAAATGATTGCTGCAACCAAAAACTGTTGTTTTCCAAGGAAGACTGATCAATACACTCATTGTTACCTTGGGAAAGTAATCCCTGAACACATTGATTCTATTCTACATATTTGTCCAGAACCTTAGAAGCCCATCCTAACACTTTTGTGTTGAGAAGGTTACTCAGATTTCCTATATTATTTGCAAAAGATAAATACCAAACTGTGGATTCAGGTTCTGAATGTTTCCGAGGACCTAGAGTTTACTTACGTGTAATGAACTGGTGAATAACTGCGAAAAAAAACACGGCTCCTTTCCGGGTTCAAATTCTTGGTTGTCCATGACTTCAATGTTTGCAGAGACCTACGAAACCCCTCCATCACATCCATTGTCATGTTCACTTTCCCTCCTTCCTGAAAATAGCAGCCCCTGAAAACGCAAAAATATCTTGTCACTTTTTATTATGCCAGATTTAGGAAGCAACTGCTTCCAAGAAATGGGGGCCAGGAAGAGAGAATTAAAGAAAGTTCGCATGCAAGAATCCATACATCTTAACGGTTTTCTCCTTATTCCACCAGTGCCCTGTATTGAAGACTAGAACATTTGCTCCCGTCCAGCGTGCGGAATACCAATGCAACTCGTCTACCCTAACGGTTACTTTGACTTGAGCTGGTGAATCTATTGGTGGGCGATTGATGGTAACGAGGAAAGGTGCTCTGTAGTATTCAATGGTGAGGTTGTACTCCTGGAACTTCATGGAAAGAAATCCTTTGTGTTTCGTTATGGGGCTTCCTTTATCTTCGAAAATTGTAGACTTGTTGGAAACTGCCTGAGCCAGCATGCATATCAGGGACTCCCATTGGTTTCTTCCGATTGAATCACCTGCAAACACGATCCGTCCGTTTCGACTCCTTTCCAAAAGGTCGCTAGCATTGAATCTGATGTTGAAAGAAATTAAAGAACGCAAACAATTGAAGAGATTTCGGAAAAGGGAGCCAAGAAGTGGTATGAGAGATTATATATAATCTCATGAAAGAATCTACCCAAACCATCATGCACGAAAGAAAGAAATGAAAAGGAAACAATAGAATTGTGCATGAACAAGCATCTTCTAAACGTTCACGATAAAACTTCATACCTGAGAAGATCACAGCCATCCGGTTGCCATCTCCATTTCAGAAACTCTACGTCTTTTCTTCCATTCTGACGACACCGAAAACCAGGATCAAGAAACGGGCAGTTTTCATCGTACATCTGAATTGGATAATTTTCATCCCGAACCCATCTGCCATAGGAATAATCACAAGCTCCTGATGGTGGTCTGCGTTGGTTTGGCGCTAGTTTCCAAGGGAAGAAATTACCAACAAAAGCAAGTGGGTCTGGAAAGTCTCCAAGGTTAAAAACAATGATAGAAGAGATTAAGATGACGAAAAAAGAGAGAGCATAGCAAAGTCCTCTCTTGATTATTACAGGAGTAAAGGGAAGTTTGTGTCTTGTTTGGGTCGTCAGTTGATCCATAAGTAGAGGAAGATGAAAAGGAAGAGAAGGAAATGAGTTTTACGTCTTTGTAGAGGAAATGTAAAAGAGTGTCGGGGTTTGTGGATTGGCTTTGCTAATTATAGGAGATTTTGCTGCTATTAATATATATATATATATATATATATATATTTGTTGCGAAAACGTGGCCAGTAACGCACCTGCATGCTTAATCAAACGCCCTTTGATGTTAAGACATATACACGAAATTTGTCGGAGAGAATCGATTCAATCTGTAGATTTTCGGGGGTAAACCAGGGTTTCATCGTGACAATTTTAAGTAAAAAAAATTTTAGATATCTTTCTATTTCGCTTTCTCCTGTAATCTTGATTGTCTTCTTTCTGCCAAAGTCTACACATTAATTAGATGTCCATTCATCAAAAGTTTGTTGTTTTTTTTTTCTCTCTTACTCGACTTCCAAGAAATTACATATTGACATTATCACTTTATTATTTCAACATTTTTATCAAATCCATCACTGCCCACCCTAAATCTATCCCATATATATATATATATATATATATATAAACTTTTTGGGGACCTAGCTACTTTATTTAAGATATAGATATAGGCATTTCTTTTTATATAGATGCTTGTCTGTATATTTTCTGTGCTTAATGACACCGACTTCTCTATATCATGCAATCATCATTTAAATTTAGATATAAATTTTACAGTGATTAAGTTTATTATATTATTAGTTAAATTTAAATATTTATTTTAATAAAATTTATTCATTATAAATTCTTTTAAAATTTTTTAATCAATAGTTACAATAATTTTTTTATCATAATTATAATAATTATTACTATTATTTTTATCTCACTAGAGACAATTTAATCAAACTTAATATAATCATGAAATAAGGGTGAGATTTGGCCTAAAGATGCCATTCTTTTATTCAATATTGTTTATTTATTCCTTAAAAAATGCGTTGTTATTAAACAATTTATTTCCTAATAGGAAATCCTAAACTCTTATTTCTTAGTTTGTTTATAGAAATATCCGTACCATGCACAACTGTCCTAAGGCTCTTTAGATTACTATCATCCTGGATATCATCGTCGGTAATTATTGAAAGCATCGGATCAGAACCAACATTCCCATAAAAAATAAATAAATAAAACCCACAAATATATAAAATTTGATGGATACACAGTTATCTGAACTTCGATTTTATAGGATTATGAAAATTTCTTACCATTTGTAAATGTAATTATAAGTATATTTATAGCTACATGACATGGTTCAGCCTATCATAAGTCATGTAGTGTAACTTACACGGCCACATGTTGACATCCAAAATAATCCATAAAATGGTGCAAATGATGTAGTCCATAAAATAGCAAAAAAAAAAAAAAAATCCAATTTAATCAAAAGAGTAAGTGAGATTATCAATTGATTAATTAGTAATTACCCAATTTGGAAGATTACTGGCAATGGAAAGGAAATTAATTTGAAGTTGATATTCAATCAGCAATTACATAAGATGGAAAATAATACGTGAAACAAATTATTTTTTTTTTTCATGGTGAAAAACGTAAAGGCAAGGAAAAAAATATTGTGGCTAGAAAATAGTTAAAACTTTTATTTATCTTTTTTAGTTTTGTTAGTATAAATAGGAGTTAGAATGATGTAAAAAGGTTTCAGATCAAAATCACAAATATAACGCAAATTCAATTATCTTCAGCTTTACATTTCTATGAAATTAGCTTTAACTCCTGGTATTTTATTTTTTTTATTAAAAAGTTTAAGGGAAAATTTTTTCATTTCAAGATTAGGACAAATCGTTAGTCTAATAAAGAATTTATATTAAATTTATAAATTGTTTATTAAAAAAATTTTACAAGTGGAGTGTTTTAATTTTACCAATTCAATCAATCTCATTGGCCTTAATATTTTATATTTACATTTCATACCTCTTAACAATTTACTTTTACTTTTTATGCATTTAAACATAGTTTTACATTAGAAAATTATCAAATATATATTTTTGTGTTCTCTATTTTCAATATTTTTGAAGGCATCAAAAGTGAGAATCATATATTGAATAATCAAATCGTTATATTTTAAATCGAATTATGTTAGGGCAAAAGAAGAATTAAAAATTTATGAATGTTAAAGGATTGAATTTCAATTTTATTGAAATTCACTTCTTTAAAAAAAGGGGTAAATCATTTAGGTTAAGTCTAACATTTTTTTAATTTTCTTTTATTTTTTTCATAATCATAACCCTAAAATAATAAAATGCATAAAAAATTATGAATTAAAAGAAAATATATATTGGACCGTACTAGGCCTGTCGTATTCATATAAGGAGTCGGGCTGGTGTGACACGATCCTTAATGATATTGGGCCCCCGGCTCTGATGAACGATCCAATCAAAGAATTTCAGTCGTGGCGACACGATTACCCATTTTAGAACACCCGACCTCGTGTCCAAAAATGTTGCCTGCCGGATTGCGTAGCCCGCTCATTTTGCCATTCCCATACACCTTATATCCAAAGAAAAACCCATCATAGACTTTCTTCAGTACTGTCGAACCCAGTTAACACTTGACAGCATCTCCCCTTTAATTTTTGGAGAGTGAAAGAAAAAATTTGAGTTATTCAGTTGCTTAATCAAATTGGGTCTCTCCTATTCCTATATGTCAACCTAAAATGAAGGTGAAAGTAGTGTGCAGGAAAGTCTATGACTACATCCGATACGATCTCAAAGAAATAGCTTTCCCTTCTTCATTGCCTGATCCTCCCCACATCAAAAAGCGCCGCAAATTGACTTGGCACGAGCGTTTTTTGGTAACCCTTTTTTCCATTTCTCTTCCGCTTTTGGAATTTGGGTTAGTGATTGGTTTCTGGGTTTTTTTTCCCTTTCTTTCTTTTCCTGTTTTCATATAGTTTTTTGTTGTTTATTTAGTGAAGAAACTATTTTAGTATTGGGTTTTGGTTTAGGTATTACTGCCCAGTTTAAAGAGCATGGTTCTATCATTTCTCCATTATAGTAAAAATAGTGAATTTGGTTTGCAAATCAGCCTCTTTTTCATTGTTGCTATTGCTATTTTCTTTTTGTTTCAAAAAAAGACATTAAAAAGGGTTTTTGTTGTAAAGGTTTGAATATAAAATTTTTTATTTTTTTAATGAAAAACAAAATGCATGGTTTTTATTTTTATATCATGTACATATGTTTGAAAGTTCTTTACATATGAGCTATTTGCTAATTTTTTTTTCTCAGATATGATGATTTTGCCCTTAAAAAAAAAAAAACTTTTGCTTTTATTCCTTTTAACAAATTTTAAAGAAGCAAAAGGGAAATAGCAAAAACTATGTATTAAGGACTGATGATTGTGTTGCTGGCCTCAATTTATTGTAGAAAACTCACTAATGCAATAGCTGGTGTTCAGGGTGGAAATTGGATCATGAAGATATTGAAGTTATTAGATTACTTTTAACTATTATTCTGCCTGCCTGCCTGACTTACTTGAATGTCAAATGATGCTCATGAACCTATTATCTGCACATGCTCTCTGGAATTGTTGGCTTTTTTCAAGGAGATAGTAGTAAATACCTGTATTTGTTCTTTAGGTCTTAAAGGAGGCCTCTAGGCTTTATGCTGCGAGCTGGGTAAGGGATATTGGTCCTGACCTTAGACCAAATGATTATAAGAAGGATGAAGAGAGTGAAGGTAAACCTAGTGGAGATAAGAGCAGGACTAAAGAGGCAGAACCTTCTACATTGGAAGATATTGGTATGAAACTTTACTTTGTGGTTTCATTCGTGAAATGTATTTGATGAAAAGTTGTCTGTAAAGAATCAAGAAGTATTTTGTAATAACTTATGTTATATTTGACATAGTCATTATATGCAATAAACCATTAATTCCTTAAAATACTTAAATATCTGGTTGCAGTTTTTAGTTGAATAGACCATTTCTCTTCTGATGCATCCTTTAGACTTGTGCTTGTGACATCTTATGAGGTCAAGGAACATTGTGCCAAAATGCTTGAGCTCTGAAGAAATGTACTATATTGAATGTGCAAGTCTTTTTTTTAATGATTGGTGCTACTAAGGGACAACAGTTACATCTGTCTAGAAGTACCAAAAAGTTGGGTTAAATCATAATTATGATATGTAGTTGTTTTGAAAAATTCCCTAATACTTTTTTTCGGGTCAAACTCTCTCTTTCGTCTGTATTCACCAAAATCTCATTGTCTTCCAACTATCTGACTCTTTAAACATTCCCTTTAACTCCTAATGTAAGTAGATACTTTTTCTCCTCAAAATCTTGATCTGGAAGTACATGCCTTTAGTTGAAAGAAGGCAACTAGAGTTAGGTTTTCATTTCAATTTCCCTATTTAGTAGAACTCATCTAGAGGTAACATTAAATTGATTCTTTATTTATTTTTTTCTTTGGTGCTTTTCTCTTAGTTTAGGCTTTGAAAGATATCCAAATTGCCAAAGTTGATATACCTTCTATAGGGATCATTTCCTCACCACATTTTGTTTGATTATACTGTTGGTACCTGTGCTCAAATCCCTAGATTTTACTGCTGCCGTAACATATTTTTTATAAACAATTACTCTTTCATTAACAGACAAAGATAAAAGAAAGAGTGACAAAGATATTGAAGAATTCTTCTTTCACCAGGCCTAGCCTCAGTTGTTAAAGAAGAAAGATATTAAATTAATGTTTTCTCCTAGGCAGTTTTAGTTTTCTGGGTTTCGATTCCTACAGCCATCACTATAACAATCATGCCCAATATCTTATGTTACCTAGATGCTTATTTTTGTAAATAAAATTACTCACTCTGAAGAATAATTGCACGATGTATCATCCATCAAAATTTTCTTTCCTTGTTATCTTAATATATATTTCTTATATTGATTTCTTTAAAAAAGAGAAAAACTTTAACTGTTGATAATTTTCTACTTGTCATCATCGAACTTGTGGGTACAGCCTCTCTTTTTTGACAAACATATTTTGAGGCCAAATTTCTATCCTTCCTCCCTTCTTTTTTATTTTCCTGGCATTATAATATTTCATCTTAAACTTTTACACTGTTTTGATGTTGTTTATGGAAATGATTTAATAGCGGTTGCTGCAAGAGGAGGGATGGAGACTTTGAAGCCTGTTTTACAGAGGTTATACATGACTAGGGCTTCTGCATATAGAGATGCTCTCAAGAGTTTTATAGAAGGATATCAAGAAGGTATCCAGCAGGTCATGGAGAAAAAGGAAGATTCTAAAGCCCAACAAGAAGGCAAGACACAGAAAACTTCAACTTGACTACTGATGAGTGCATAAAAGGCAATTCATGTGAGCACTTCTCCAGCATACCGATTGTTGATACAGGTTTAGAGGTTTGACGGACCTGGTTGTCATGAAATCACAAGCGTGATCCATATCCCAAGGATTTTCCTGTATTTTGAAAGTAAACTTTAAAAACTATGAATATGATAAGAATCTCCGATCGTAGTGCTGAGGCTTTTTTTTTTCTTCTGATTGAGGCTAAACAAATTTGAAGGCAGGATTTTTGGTATTTCGTGCATGTAAGTTTTTGGCTTAGTTCAGTTCTCTACAGTCTTGTGCTTGCAGAAATGTAAAGGAACCATTATGCCTTATCTCTTTGTTAAGTGCAACCCAAGAATTCCTGGATAGCTGCTGCCAACTGCTTAAAAGAGGCAGTTTGCATACAATACTTGATTTAGGCTTTTTGGCTTTTGCATTAACGGACCAATTTTGAATGAGCTGCTCTCACACTCACACTAAAGAAACCAGATGTGTCTTGATTGTGAAAGAAGAAGTGTTGATCTAGTCTTATTGCAAGCCATATTAATTAACCAAGGCTCTTTTCTATTGATGTTTTTACTATTTAGTTTTAGTATTTTTTTTGGCCTCTTGCTTTTTATTCATTTATTGCAAAAGTAGCCCAAAAAAAAAGCAAAAGCATTAACCAAAAGAAGCCTAAGAACGGCCTTAGAATAAAAGTTTGTATTTTACTATTATGAGCTTATTTGTCTTTTTGTTGGAATGAGAGTGGGACATTGTTTCTTCATGTGAATTGATAGCTGGGTTGCGGTTTTGCTCCTTTCACCTGGGGATCTTTTATGGCCTCTCCAAGGGATTCTTAGGAATCTGCTGGGCTGAAATATTCAGTGTACAATATGTTTAATATTCAAGTAGATACTGTCGGACTCTGCTTTTAGCTTTTCAGGAAAGGCTTGTATGTGGAAAACAGTGTTTGTGTCAAATTTGCAGTAGCAAATGTCTGAAGTACATTGCATAGAGTAGAGAGGGAAGAGAGGTTTGAAAATGACTTGCACAATATAAATGGCTGAATGGAAATGGGGGCTCCAGAATTAGAGGTTGGTGCAGAGTTGAAATTCCAGTTAAGCTTGCACTAATAATAGGGTGGAACATAACTGTGAGATACCAGTTGTTCTTAATACCTGTGCAAGAAATCTGTTACTCTGTCAAATGATACCGTTGGTGGGGCTATTGTACACAAGTCATCCCCGAGTGAATTGTCTTGCTTTGAACCTTCCAAGCACATGGGTTTTGCTTTTAAGTGTTCAGCAGCAAGATTTTATGAGATTCATCCGGAAAGTTATCTGTTTCCTCTGCAATTCAGGGATGGTACTTCATTGGCTTCAAGATTAATTTTGCTTGCAGGTCGTGGACATTCTGGTGCTTGAAAACTTTTCTTTTAAAGATACGCTTCTGATGGTTCTAATATTTTTAAGATATGTAATTTCCAACACACAATCGTTTTTTCATTGAAATTCTTAAAATTCTAAACTTACAATTACTACAAACTCTAGTCACCTCTTGATATTTTAATGCTGTCTGTTGCTTGCAATACAATTTATTTGGTTTTGTTGCTCAGGGGCTTTAAGTAAGAAAAAATTAGCTCATTTTTCTGTGGCAGATGTTAAGAGTTTTGAAGCTGAGGGTAACCTAGCTTCCAAAAGCATAAGGTCTGACAAAGAGGAAAAGCTAAGTGGGACAAAGAAATATTCTCATGTTCTTACTATATTTATACTGTATTTAGCCATGCATGATTGAATTATTCTTGTTGGACAAACCCATTATACAGGAGGAGTCCCTTCAATCATTTGATTGACCACCACCCTGAGGCCAATGATAACAATATCTAATGATCCTTCAACTTGCAGAGCCACTAAAACTTTGGAGGCCATTTTCAATGGAGGCAATGGGTAACTCTCTTGTCTGAATCCTTATGGGGGCCTGATCATCAATTGACACTTTATCTTATTAGAAACATAACGAATGTAAAGATAACTGTGTATCTTGTCACCAAATCCATTCGCCGGCATTAATATCTCTTAGTTAACCTGGAAGGTCTTTCAAACATGTGCGTGCAAGCTAGAACCCTGTAGCCATTATTCCATACGCATTGATGTGTGGTCAAAGCTTCATTTTAGTACTTAGGTCAAAAGCTTTGTCTAATTACTGCGTTGTATGCTTAATCAAAACCATTCATTCAAGGGTCACACATCAATTTTTGTCACTGGAATGCCTACTGTTGTGCTTAATGGTTTTAATCATAACTGAAAACTATACTTATCCATCAGCTTGCTTTGAGCTGTTTGTATGATTTCATGATTAAGAACATTCATTAAATTGAATGTTTTTGATCCAACGGTAAAAGTATGAGTGGCCTAAAGCTTAGGTGCTAGGCTTACGAGATTTACTGATTAGCTAAGATACCGTTGGTACCGTTGGTAATTGTAAGAACTTTATCTTTTATCCAGCTAGTGGATTCAGGGGGCATCAAAACCTTGAGATCGACCAGTGACTAAATTTTGGTGCTGTCAGTCTGAGCTCTGTTGCAGTTTATGGGGGCGCAAGCTGTTCGTTTTAGAAATTAATGGTTGAACAGAACTTCGTAATGTGAATGCCTGGGGGTCAAAGCCAAGCAAGTGTGATACCAGTCTGACCGGTTATTTGATTGCTTGCTACTTGCTACAGTTATGAGAATCTAGTTAATTGTGGTTTTTTTTTTTTTTTTTTAACAGAAATCACACACCAACTAGCATTTTCTTGGTATGTCCTATATTTCATTAGATCTTTGGTGGCTGAAACATAGCAAACATTTTTTAAAATAGCAGGAACAATCTGCCATGATAGTTATGCTCAGTCCGTTAATTTAATTCCATCGTGTTTTCATTTAAGGAAGCCAATTCCTTGGGGCCAGATCATTTATATAACCCATTTAATCATGCATTTCTTAGCTGCACTTTTTCATAAACTTTTATATTATTCTTTATAGAGGTTGAGCTTGGCACAATGTCAAGGTTTTTCCTTGACCTTGGAGATAGCATTCAAAATTATTAGTATTCCATGCTTTTTTATAAAAAAAAAAAAAAATTGAGATAGCTTCTTATCAGGATTCAGGTGTTCATCCCTTTTCTGGTTTCTGTCTAGCCTTTCCATTTATGATAAGTTTCTTATTTATTGCTGATCATGCTTCCCGTATCTCTTGGTCAGCTTGGCCCTTCTGTCACCAGACACCTGAGTAATTAACACACGTCAGAGGGATGTTTTTTTCAAGTTGAGTAAGATATTTTAACTCTAAATTTGTAGCTAGGCCTTAAACCCAAGGTTTTTCAAGTCTTTCAGATGCTGATGCTAAGCTGAGCTTGGCTCTTAGCAATCTATATTCCTCCTTTTAAGTTTAACAAGAATGATCAAGTGACAGGCAGGGGGTACAGATAGAAAAATGATGGTAATAGAAAAAAGATGATTAGGATGGAGCATCTTGTCATATATTCTACTATTAAACGCGAAAAATGTAACTCTTCTGGTAGGTTTATTACATTATATGGAATAATTTCGGCTTTATGAAATAGTAAATGACGCTAAAAGAGGTTCCCTGATGTCTCTTGCTGGACGTAGCAGGCAAACAAGGTTGCAAAATTCATAGTTGTAAGTAAGCTCGAGACACACGTCAATATCAGTATCAGTTCTGAGTTTAGAGAAGCTACTGGGTTAACATTGGACTTGATCATTACAACACAAGGCTCAATGGCTATTACTTATTAGAAGTTGGAACCATTTCTTGAATCATTCTCTCCATCATCCATTCAGATTGAGGCAAACTGAGAAAAGAAAAAAAAATACTGATAAGAGTGGAACCCCAAGCTTTCAATATTCTCTCCAAGTTGCAATCTTTGCGTTATCTATTCAGGGAACCACTTTGTTTATATCTTCTATATTTGCATTTTAGAAATAAAATTTTAGGTTTTTCCTTTGACTACATGACTATCAAAGATCCTCAACATCATCAGCATCAGGATCAACTCTTCTGGGCTGCATCAAAAATTACAGAGAATGGAGTCCCAAAGAGAGAGAGAGAGAGAGAGAGAGAGAGAGAATATGAAAATGCTATCTATTTCTAAAGCCATCTGATTCTGATTTCTGCAACTTACAGTAGTAGAGCATAAAAAAACAGCTTTGGCTACATGGAAATTTGATTGATACTATTAAAGATAAGAGAGAGTAGCGGGCTGCTGGTTTTACAGGGCTATCAATGTTATCCATCTTTTTAAGACCTCCACCCACCCACCAGCCCCACTTCCATTATTATGATTATTAGTCTATAAAAAATCTTTAGGTAGAATCTCAACATTCCCTCAAGGCCCAATAGTTTCCAAAACGACCCAGTTTTCCCCATTTAGCACTTGCTTACATCACCACCTTTGCCTGGACTCCCTAACTCCCTCTCAATTCCAGCCTCTAATTTGCCTCCCCTCTCTCACTTTTCCAGCCCAGGAATTTTTTTCTATTTCCTCTTTCAAGAAAAATAAAATTTAAAAGAAGAAACCAAAAAGAAATATTTTCTTTTGAACTTCCAAGTGGGGTTCAATTAAGTCAAATTCTGTTCACCATTTAAGTATTTCTCTGTTTTGTAAGGCTTAATCTCTCCATCTCACCAAAAAAAAAAAAAAAAAGCAAATACTACTCCTACTTGGTATATATTATTCAATTTCTTGCTTTCCAATCAAAACCTTTCAAACCATACCGACCACTATTCAGCTAGGTCGGTTTGCCCCTAGGCTTTAGCATAGCTACAAAGGATAATCCATTGTGCTATTTTCAATGAAGAAATCATAGAAAACAAAGTAATTATTATTTCATATATATCATCATCGATATAATTTTTTAAACTCTACGCATTGCAATATTATGATGTATTTTTTTATTACAATGGATGATCATGAAAATGGTTCACTAGATTTGAAGTTATGAACTGACCAATTAGGGCCCATTTTATCTTTTTGTTTAAAGATAATCATCCTGAAATCCCACTGTACTCGACAGCTTCGATGGGGCATGTTTAATTCATCAATTATTGTCTGATTTTATTGAAAAAAAAATGGTTGGCATTAAAGGAAACCACGTCGCAACTTTATCATACTTTAGTAATTAGACTAATGCAGTTAGGCCACGAGCCAAGTGGTCAACCTTCCTCAACTTCTGACTTATCAATCGTTTTGTTCATTTGTCTCATTACAAGTAGCAAGCAAAACAAACAGCCAAAACCTCAATATATATTTTAATAATTAATAATTATCTTTTGTAGCCAAAAAAATAATTATTATTATCTTTAATATGACGATGGAATGGGAGGATATATGCATACATTGCTTACCATGTAGTTTGACGTGTAGGATTGAGAGTAAAACTGGTGGGTGGTTGGACTTGGACCCTGACTCGACAGCGACGAGCTATCAGGCGTGGATGGCTCTGAGTGATCGAGCTGACACTCTAGGTTCACCCCAAATAGCCGCAGCAGCCTCTTTGGGTTCCCAGCTGGGGCTTGATTTTGAACCACGGTTCCTGCAAATGTAACACAAAAACACATGCTCCCATGTGATCAATATTCAATAATCCCACCCTCTTATTCAAGTCTTATCTCATCTACCTTTAAATAATAATAATAATAAAAAAAAGTGCTACCACAACTATTTCCTCATCACTTAATTTGACATTTTTCATTTTTTTTGGATAAATAATTTGACATTTTTCTTTCTTTTCTTTTTTTTATTCCAATCCCAATGAGAAATCATTTTTTCTAATGACAAGAATAGGAATGCTTTTCATTGCTTGAAATGATTGTAAGAAAAGGTTTCTTAATGCTTTCCAATTAAAATGAAAAGGTGAAGCTATGAAAATCATTTGGAAAATATAATTGTAAATCTTTTTATATATATGAAAGTTCATTACTCAACTAACAAATCACATGAGAGATGACAAAATATACTAGTAAATTACTAAAACAAAACGTATTACATGAAGGTTTTTTTAAAAAATAAACATTTTTTAAAGAAAAAAAAAACATAAATACTGGATAGAGTTTACAATGTGACAAAAAATATACCAGCATGAAGACAGTTAGGTTGGTATGGCACATTAGCCCCCTGGACTTGAATTTGCCCAAGATAAGGATGTCCATGATACAATCCTCTACTACTCCACCCTTCATTGCCACGGCCAACAACACCCCTATTATTTCCCATTACGGCGTTCCCGCCATCCACTGCAGCTGCTGCAACCGCCACCGCTGCACCACGCCTCCTCCACCCTATAAACAACCTATCACCATCTGTATGGTGTCGTTCGAATAAAATAATGTCACCAGCATCAAGTTGCTTCTCTTTGACGTATCTGCTCCACCCTTTTGTTAATACGTAGCTTTGGCTGCTGTTCCAATACGAGTAACGGAAACTCCAACACTTGCCTGACTCGTCTTCAAAACTCAGCAGCAAACTTTTATCAACCGAGTCACCGCCGAGCGGGAAGTATTTCTCTGCATGTTGTTTTGGAATAACAAGCCTGTTCAGCTTGCCAACGTCACTCGGGGTTAAGGGCTTTTCAAACATAGGTTCCCTTTCATGGTCTAGGTGGCTTTTATGAGTATTTCGGTTAGGGTTTTCGGTGTTGTCAGTGGAGGTTTGATCACTCAATTCGTCGTCTTCGTCGACTTCGTTAAGGTTAAAGTTGTGGGAATGGTGGTTTGAAGACAAGAACATGGAGGGATGGTGAGGATGGTTTTGGGGATTGTTGTAAGAGTTTAGCCAAGATTGGTGAGGGTAGAAATGAGAGGTGCAGGGGGCGTTTTCAAAGGTAATTGGAGGCTTGTGAAGCTTTGAGGAAGGGGAGCTTTGGATTGGTTCCATGAAGGACTTTTCTTTTGTTTCTTGATGTTGTTATCGTTTGATTGTTTCTACTCAAAGTGGTTTATGGGCATTTGAGAGACAAACAGCGACGGGTGGTTTAGTACAGCAAAGAAACTGTAGAGAAAAGGGAGTAATGGATGGATGAGTGGGCTGAAAGATGCGTGATGATTATGGGTTTGATGTGGAAACGGTGGAGGGTATTTGATGTAGCAAAGAATGATATGACACTGAGAAAGAGAAAACAAGAGAACGAGATTGAGATAGAGAGAGGAAACAGGGGGAGGGGGTTAAGGGGAAATTGCAAAGTAGGAGAGTATTTTAAGGTTTTGCGTGATGATTTATTTTTCAATAATTATATTCAGTGTAATTTGATGATGAATATGTTTTTTTTTTTTTTTTAATTCTACTCTTATTAGTTACTACCAATTTATAGTCACGAAATTATATAATTTATAATAATTATATTATATTAATTAATTAAAATTTAAAACTATATAAAATTTTTTAAAATATTATTTAGAATTCATATTTGATAAATTTTTATATCATTTTTATTATAATAGAATAATAATAATTATAGAATTATAATAAAAAATTAAAATAGAATGATATGTTCGCATATTGAAAATGAACAAAGCAAACATGTGTCAGATTTCACTTCCTCATCTGACTTTTTTCTCTCTTTCATTTCTATCCATCATTCAATGAATTGAGTTTGGAGATAAGCGAGCAAATAAATAATCATTTTCTGGAATATACTAGGAGAGTAAAGATAAACTACACATAGGATAATGTTAAATCATAAACATAAACAATGTTGCGATTGGAGCAGTTACACTTGATTTCATTTCATGCACTTTGCCTAAAAAAAAAAACTACTAGTTTCAGAAATTCAAATTTTCCAATCCTCTGACTCTGAAATATGCATTATGTACTATTAAGAATTTGCTGAATTCGGTAGAACATGTATCTGTCTGAATCTTGAGAAAGATCAAGAGATTCTATCTAGGGTGAATAAAATTTATGCAATTTACACGACACCCCATGTTACTACATTGGCAAGCAAATAAAAAGAGGTGGGGCAAAACCTGACGCAACATGGGTAATCAGGTTAGCATCCAACGGTAGCCCAAGCAGCAGGTGGAGCATATCTCTGGTAATCAGGGGCACGTGTTTGATCATTTTCCCTTGCCCGTAAAAGATGATTTTCCATCTTGTCAAACAGTGAAAAATCTCATACTACATTGTAAACCTGACAGAGAAAAAGAACATGCTTGTTAGGTATATTTCAGTGGGAAAAACAGCATAGTAAAGATCGGTGAAAGGAGGTTTTGTTTTTGTTAAAAAAGTACTGAAACTACTAGGGAGAGATCTTGATCCTGAGCCAGGAGTGGTCCATCCTCACTTTGTTGTGGAAATATTAGGTGATAATTTTCTTTTGAATGTGAAGAGATTGAGAGAATAGTATTTTTATCACGTGCATGACAACATTATTAATGTTTGGCCATTCCTAGTTTTAAAAAGGTGCTAGGAAACGATTGGGCAGTACTCTGAAAAAAATCCCACAGATGCCTACCCTTTCCAATGAACAGAGAGATTGATGAGATAAGATTTGTCCAATTGGAACAACCCTTTCTCCCCCTTTTGGGTCTGTCGTGTTTCAATCCTGTCCTTTCCTTTCCTCCCCATCATTAAAATCCCTCTCTCATCCGGCTGTCTTTCACTCAATTCTTTTATTTGATTATCACTTTTTTATTCATTTTATTATTTATTTATGCAGTTGCTTATGTCTTCTTTTCTGAGTTTGAGACAAAACCCAACTTGCAGGTAGATATTTCGGACACCCTTTTCATCCCTAGAAAAAGGGGGGGGGGGGACTGGCTGTTAACTTATGTTGGGAACACATGTTGTTCTGTTGTGTTATGCTGATTATATACTGTATGTTTTGAGTAATACATCCAGCATGTTTATGTCATCTTATTCACATTCTACTTACTGTAATCATCAAACAGGTTTATAATATGTCAGCCCAAGAAAATTTGTCTTAAATCTGGATCATAGGTTGATTATACACTCTCAATTTTCAATGAAGTTTGTCCAAAATTCTGTTCAATATTGTAACCCAAAGCCTCAAATTTTGTACCAAAAAGTTGCTCAAAGATATATGTTGTTTGGCCAAGAACAGGATTCCTTGATTTTAAAGAAATTAAAACCAGGTTTTTGGAAGGAATCTGCCATGTAATTCGTTAAGCTTCACGTGCTATTGGAACATTTAACAATGACTGGTGGGAGAACTAGTCACTGTGATAAATATAAAAATAAATATTTCCTTGTCTGGGAGTTTCCTCAATTCCCAAGCGAATCCCCCTGGATTTGTAAGACCAATCCCTAAGATTTTCCTCGCAAAACCCGTTACTCTGTTTCTGTCTGTGATGTCTATGGGTAAAACATGAGCTGTCAATTGATAGGATATAAGATAGAAAGATTATTATTATTATTATTATTTATTTTATTATTTATATTTAATAAATATTTTAAATTTATCTTTATTTTTATATCTTTAATATTTAATAAATATGAATAATCTTGTATTCTCATTTTTTAAATAAAAATAATTTTTGTTAGTTTTTTAGTTTTATTTGACATATTTATAAAATTTTTTATAAATATATATTAATATATTTTTAAATAAAATATATTAATTTTAATTAATTTAAAATAAAATTTTACAATATTTAATAAAAATTTATTTACTAAATTATATAAATATATATAGTGCATGAATACAAGAAAAATGTTACATTATTCGATTTTATTTTTGTTTCTATATTTGAAAAATTTTTTAAAGTTATATTTATTTTATCTCAAAAGTTTAATACTCGTTTTCATCCTTATTAGAATAAAAAATAAGTTTCATTTCATTGAATATAAATAAAATTGATATTTTTATTTATTATAAAAGGCTAACAATTTTTGTGGTGTTTTGAGAAATGATGTGATTGGTTTAACTAAAACAGTACACATTAATTGTTGCATAAATATCAGATTAATTTATAGCAGTGGATGTTTCAATTGTATTCTGGTACTGCAATAAAATTACAATTGAACCCCTGTTATGTGTCCAAAGGAACACCGCCAAAACTTTATAATTGCTTACCTAATAATATATAATAAATTTAAGTACTTTATGCAAAGACATTGATTATTTATCTTAAAAAATATATATAAATTAAAAATAATAAAAATTTTAAATTTATCAAATACTTTTTAAAAAATAATTATATAATTAACTTAAATTAAATTTTAAATTAATTGATTATTTGATAACGAATGTTTGATCCCAAATTTTTATTAAAAAAAAACTGCACGTGATAAAATAAAAGCTAGTCGATTTGGGGGGGGGGACCAACAGTTTGGTTTGGATTACATGATACTGTTTCCTTTCCAATTGACCCATGCTAAACACATTTGAAGCCGAAATTTGCACACCTCAGTCACCGATAGAGAATAGCCGAAATTTCTTAATGTTATAAATAAGATTAAGAGGGTGGTACATATTTTATATATTTAAAAATTTTAATTTTAAAAAATATGTATTATTATTTTAATTTTATTTATAAAATTAAAAATATTTAATATTAATATATGAAATAACTTTTTTAAATAAACTAAAATTCATACATATATAACCGAAAATAAAAAGCTCGATAATACAAGTAATCATTGTATCATATGCGTTGCACGTGATGTTATATATTAATTATCTTAATATTTGTTAAATAAATTATGTTCACAAATTTATGGGGCCGAAAACTTGGACTTGAGGTTCAGATAGGGCTGAATTTTTACAGCAAACTTTTGTTTTGTTTGGACTTTAATCATCAGTTTGTATCCGCACGTTGAGTCCCTAGGCCGTGAGGCTTGTATTTAATTAGACAATGGTTTGCGGATAAAACAAATTGGTTTCAGAGAAACATGTTGGCTACCCTATTGGCTAGACGGTTTTATTTGGCAGGGCTTGTTGTTGAAATCTTGACCATATGCTTTAAGCAGTCAGTGTTTCACCAACAATTATAAATGGCTTCTCCATAAATAAAAAAATTTCAGAATTTAAATATTTTCTGTTGGCCACAGCCATTATTGAAACTTGAAAGGGACATAGTTCATGAAATAATTAAAAATTAAAACCTGCAAGTAATAAATTCATGAAGTTCAGTTAGCTTTGAACATGGGAATTCTTTGTCCAAAAATAAAATACTGACAAAATCTGAGTAACCAACCACAAAAATTTCAACTCATCACTTCTCTAACTACTGGCTGGCTTATTACTCTATGCAGCATTTAAAAAACCAATAGCTGGCAACCGATCACTCACCCTGCAAATGGAATGCAGGCAAACTGGACAATGAAATAAAAAAAGTGTAAATTAATCATTTAATCTATTGAATTGATTTGCTCAAAAACCAACAAAATATGTAACAATTTCCATAAGCAATGCCAAATTGCCGATTTCTAATTGTCTATAATATGATTCGGAAGGAAACATCTCATTAACAGCCAAAACAAAAACGAAGAGAGAAGGAAAAAAACTATATATAGAAGAGGCCGTGTCTCCTTTTACTGTTTGGGCGCGTGGCCTGCCTGGAAATGGGTCATGAAATCAATTTCCCATTCATCAGAAGGCGTGCGTGGGCTTTAATCAGATGGGTCCCATCACATCAAAAACTACTACTTCAAAAATATTTGGTATTTTACTGTTTTTACTTCTTGGCAATGGACCGTACCAGATCATTTCCGTTTCAGCCGAAACCTTTACTTTTGCAGCAGCTGCTGCTGCCTGCTGCCTGATGGCATGCATTCTTTTTTGACCTTTTGTGTGGAAAATAAATTGCGAGGAAAAAAAAAAAGTGGGTTAGGGAACAAAATGGGAGGTTATGATGGGATGATGAAGTTGGGTTTATGACCCGTGGATGGGTGCTGTAGCATAATTGAAGTAGAGCTTTGAGTGTGAGGATGGTTTTGAGGAGAAGGCTCTAATGGCATGGTCGTCCTAGGGACCCATCCCCCATTTTGTCAACAAATTAGTGGACAAAGCTTGCCCTGGTTTCCAAAAGGATTCCATTGACTTGCCTCTTCTGGGATTTTGCACATTTGCACTGTGAGAGCATGCTCTTGAGGAACTTGTGAACACCTTGTCACGTTTCTTGCAGCTTTTAACCAAACCGAATTGCTGATCCTTCCCAAAGAATGCTTCGGATTTGTGTAAGAAAACTTGAGTCAAGATTTGGTGAAAAAGTTCCTGAACAAGACATTCCTCCTTATGTTACAACAATTTGGGTTTTTTTTTTTTTCTTTCTTCTTTTCCTTTTAGTCCATCAAGGCTTCAATTGTTGGGTAGCTAATAAACTTCTGGACTAAGAAGAATTCATTGAAACAAGCAGTTTGGAAATGACAGACTAGACTCAATTATCTGAGTCTGTCATCAAGGTTGCTTTGGCTGGGCTCACAATCCTTGCTAACTGATACGCTGCACTGAGGCCCATCGCTTCTGCTAATAGAGGATTTAATCCATTATTTATCATAGTAACACACCTACATATATTACCATCATTAATTCATTATCAAAAAGAACCGTTGCACCAGCAATTCGTTTGCCATTCTTGTCCACAGCACCATCAGTCATCATCTTCCACTCACTTTCCTCAGCTACACCTTTGTCATGAACTGAGGATTCATTCAGTAACTCCCTCATGTTGTCCCCTGAATCAAGAGAATGCAGATTATTACATCCAATATATTTTTCCCCCAACAAAACATCAATGTTCCAGGCAACAGCTTCTAAATTTGGGGACATATATGCCTGAAATCAGTATTATTCCTTTCAAGCCATATTGCCCACAAATCAATACATTTGAAAACAAAGTCATTATGTTTTGCAATTTAGTAGCCAAATCAATATTCAACCTTGCAAATCATATTCTAATTGCAGAAGGACAAAACAAGAATAAATGCTCAATAGTTTCATCATACTCAAAACACATTGGGCAACCAATATCCATCCCCATCCTGCAAGCAATCAGAGCTGGCTTAGTAGGAAGAGAATAAGACACGTTTTGAAACAAAAAATTTTATCTTTGGAAGAATTTTAGGTGCCATAACCATTAACCACTCCCATAAAACCCTTGGAGCTGTAATTGTATTTTGTCCATGGATGAAGATATTCCCCTATTCACCTCCTCACAATCTCTCACTAAATGATATCCTGACTTAACCATATAGTCCTCAAATCTATCAAACTTCCACACCACTTTGTCAGGATCAGCAAACCTACTGGAATTTCCTTAAAAGCTTCAACCATTTGTTCTAAATCCCAAGCTTTGATCGAACAATTTTCCATTGCAAATTTTTCTAGTATGTTTCAATTCACCACCACCATTCTTTAATCATTAATTGCATATGTAATGCCAAACTAAGTCTTGCATTTTAATGATGCTTAATTGCTTATACACTGTAAAACGAAGAAAAAAAAAGTCCTAATTAAGAATCATGTGCCAGGTCATGATAATATTGAGAGATTCAGTTGGAAATGATTCTGACTTCCTTTAGCCGCACATCTTGAAGTCATTTGAGATATTCACTGGTTACAAACCTCAGAACTACATGGTGAGCCCCTATTGGAAATAAAGAAAAAAAATTTGGAACATTGCTATCATTTAAAATACAAAAATTGGCACATATTTAAAGTATCTAATGATTCAATACATTTTTTTTATCCACAAATACTTTCTAAATATGTTTTTCATAAACCTTCTTCAGCAACGATTGCAACTTTGGTTTTGGATATATTCTTCAATATCCTGACCAAGATCATCAAATTAGAGCACAAATATTAGCAGATATTCTCCCTGAGTCCCTGTCTCCCTGACAGGTGGCAAGTGACAACTCAAAAATATTTGTAAACTTAGAAAGATAGA